AGCGCCCCGCCCGCCTCCAAGCGCCGAGCTGCGGGCGCGCCCGGGCTCCGACGGCGGGGCAGGACGCACCTCCTTGTCCGGGACCCACTGCGGCTCCTCCAGGCCGAACGGGCTCCCGAAGGCGCGGTGCTCGGGCACCATGCGCAGGCCGCTGGGGGAGCGCACCAGCTTCTTGGCGTCGCGGTGCGCGGCCACCCCCGAGGACATGTCGCCGCCTAGAGCACTCGCGGCCGCCGCCCGCACTCGGCCCCGCACCCCGCCGAGCGGCTCCGCCCTGCCCCGCCCCGCCCCGCGTGGCTGACAGCACCGGTGCCCAGTCACCAAGCGGCGCTCAGACCGCGGGCCAATCGAAGCCAAGGTTCCGCCCCATCACTGTCCTTTCCAATCCACACAAGGGCCCCACCCCTACCATCCTGTGGCCGGCCACCAATCGGCGGTGAGGGCCGGCCTGAGCGCGGTCCGCCCCTATCGGAACGATTGCGACTTTGGATTGGTTAATTCGTCAAACCACCGAGGTCGCTTTCTTTCTGATTGGTGTGGGTGACTGGGGTCGCCCGGCGCTCATTGGAAGAAAAGGTTGGGGGGGGGAACGGCGCGAAGAGACTAGCGGGACGCGCGGGAGGTGAGCGCGTGGGGGTTCCTCGTCCTGGGACAGCGGGGAAGGTTGGGGCCGTACCTTGGGCGGGGAGCGGGGCACGCAGAGGAACCGGCCGGGCCCAGGACGCGGAGCGGGGACGCGGCCGGGGCAGCGGGGTCGGGGCTTCGGGCGAGGCGGGGCGCGGGTGGGCGGGGATCTCGCTAAACCGGCCCAGCCGGGTGCTGCGGAACCGGACCTCGCGCTCTGCGGCGGTGCAGCTCCGCGGGCGGGGCGCGCCCCTCGGGGCCCCTTTGCAGGTTTGGTTTCCGGCTTTGTTGCGGCGCAGGCGTGGGGTGACTGAACCCAGAACTTTGGCCCCGCAGGACTCTGCTGGGCCTCACAGAGTCGCTAACGTTTCCCTGGCTGGGCTCGAACTTGCCGTCCTCCTGCCTCAGCCTCCCAGAGTGCTGGGACTGCGGGCTGCGCCCCCACGCGCAGCTTGCTGTGGAGTGGAAACCACCAGATTTGCCTGTTGCCCTGGAGGCCCGGGTCCCTGCCAGCCGGGCGCTCGCCCCCGCCCTCCTGCCTCCCCAGGGCTGCGCTACCCCGGTCCGAGTGGCCCGTCGGAGTGGCGTCCTGGTGGCCGCGGCTTCTGCAGGCTACCCCTTCCTGCTGGCCGCCGTCCTTGGTGCCCCGATGTCCCCACAGCAGCCACCAGCGCCCTCGGCCGGTGCAGAGCCCAGCCTCGGTGTGGCCCCCCTGCGGCCCCCCAGCCGCCCTCGCGTCACCCCGCGCTGCCCCGCGGCCTGCCGTGCTCAGGGCCGGGCGCCCGGGACCCCGCGGGAAGTGCCCCCTCGGCCCCCGGGTGACCGCGAAGGCGCTGTGGTCAGCAGGGCGGGACTGCCCAGCACTGGGCACTGCCTGTTCTCGACCCCTCCTACGCCTGTGTCCAGCCAGAAGGGTGCCAAGGGCAGGTGGCATTGCCACGTTGCTGCCCCGCACTAGGAGGGAGCCTTGGAGCCCGAGGCCGCTGCCTCTCCCTCCGCTGAGCTGCGCCCAAGGCTCTGGGCACCTCCCAGGGCAGCCGTGGGGTGGGGGGGCTCCCGTGACCCGGCCAGGCCCACGCAGCCCCTTGCCCCCCAGGTTCAGGCTCCCTTCTCCCAGGTCCCCATGGAGGCCCACCTGAGGGGCCCCCAGGACGCCGCGGGGGCCTGAGCCCGCGGGACCCTGTGTGGCTGGAGGTGAGTCGGGTGCCAGTGAGGCCACCTGGCCAGAGGACACCTTCCCCTGTCTTCAGGGGTGGCCAGGTACCATGGTAGCTGTCAGGATGTGGGCACCAGGATGCTTGGGATCAGGGTTCCCGGCTGCTGAGCTGCCCCTCCTTCCTTTGTGGCCCAGCACCCTCCCTCTGCTGCTGCCCTGGGGCCCCTCGCCCATGAGGACATGGAGCTGGACCAGCTGGACCTGAACCCCCGAGTCCTGGCGGCCGTGAAGAGAGGTGGGCTCCTGTCCCCGTAAACCCTGGAGCCCGAGGGACTGCTCTGGATGGCGGGGTCTGTGTGCACAGCACTGCGTCTCTCTGCCAGCAGCCTGCGTGCACGTGTCTGTCGTCAGGAGGGAGACCTGACTCCCTCACTGCCGCCTCCCCTGGCCCTGCTGAGCTGAGCCTGTGGCTTTCTGTTTTCTGCGCCTGGCTTGCTGGGCGGTGCCGAGGTGAACCCGGGAGCCTCTGCAGCCCCTTCTTTCTTGGTTTTGAGGCCAGGTCTCACCAAGTCACCAAGTTCCCTGGGCTCAGCTCGAGCTTGTGCTCCTCCTGCCGCACCTGCTGAGCTTCCTGCGTGCCCCTGGCCGAGTGTGTCCTGCCTGCCGTGCAGGGCTGTGGTTCTAGGCTCCCCTTCTACCCTCCTTGTCTCCCAGGGTATCTGTTGGGGCTGCTGAACATTAGGGTTCTGCCAAGTACATGTGGAACAGCCCCGAGAACACGGGGGGGGGGGCACCACCTGGTGGTGGGCAGGGTCTTGCTGTCCTGCTAATCCACTCTTGGCTTTGTTTCCTTGGCCTGCGGTTCAGGCCCTCACTGTCACACAAAGGCTGCTGCAGCTGCAACCACACATGCAGTTTGGGGCTGCAGGGGAACAGGCTCCGCAGGAGCTCCCTCTCTTACCAGGAAGTGAACTTTCCCTGGAGCGCCGGCCGTTCTGTGCTGGGCCCCTGTGCGGGCAGCAGGACTCCCTCCCCAGCCTGTTTTGATTGACAGGTGCCCACATGGCCTGTTGGTCTTCTCGTGTCTGTGGGTCTTTTCTTCAGGGTTGTGTTTTTTCCTTCCATGCAGTCTGAGATCCCTCTGCCTGGACCTTTGGTGTGCCTATGTCCCAAGGGTGACTGGACTGGGGCCGCTGGCCTCCCCTGTTCATACTGAGCAGTCCTTTTTTTGCTGAGGGTGCTGGAGAGTGAACCCAGGGCCTTCACACTGGGCTACAGCCCCAGCTCTTTTTTGTTTTTTACTTTTTTACTACTTCACTAAGTCAGTAACTTACCCTGCCTGGGCTCAAACTTGCAGTCCTCCTACCTCAGCGCCTCTGGTTGCTGGGATTACAGGTGTGCAACACGCCTGGCTCGTGGTCCCTCCTGAGAGCCTCCCGGTGGAACAAGGTGACAGTTACCTGGCTTCCTGAGGAACTGTCCCACCTCTGCCAGCCACCTGTCATTCTCGGATTTCCTAGGGTGTCAGTGGTCTCCCGAGTTCCCAGCACCCTGGTCACCGCCCTGTAGCTTGCTGTTCACACGTCTGGCGTGGCCAGCTGGCCCTGTGACCCCTGTGATTGCAGCCAGCCTGAAGTCTGTGAAGGAGGTTCTGTGCATCTCTGGACCCGACCTGCGGAGACGCACTGGCCTGTCCAGCCCCGACGTCCAGCACTTGCTGACAGCAGCTGCTACGCACCTTCGGGGCCACTGTGTGCTTACAGGTGGGCAGGCGACATCCACGCCACGGGGCTGGGTCCCAGCTGTGCTAGCCTTACCCTGCAGGGCCGGTCCCAGCACCCACAGAGGGCGCAAGCAGACGGCAGCACTGAGTCAGCCTCAAGACCTTGGGCTGCGGTGCTGCCCAGGAAGCCAGGCCAGCAGAGGGACCTGCCAGGGTCCCTGCCATGTGGATGCTGCGCCTTGGCAGGACTGCGTCACTATCTCTGGGAGCCCCTTGTGCCCGCCTGGCTGTGGGGCCTCTCCTGTCTGAAGCCCGTGTGACTCAGTGGTCTGGGACCCAGCACTGGCTACTGTTGTCATGCGTAGGGCCCTGAGTCACTCTGCAGCCACTGCCGCTCCCAGTGTGGGGGCGTCCGCCAAGTGCCACCAGCCCAGCGCCTGGCTGCCCAGGCAGGACGCCAGGACGAGCCTGTTCAGCCCAGCCCAAGTCCCACTCTGACCTCACCCAGGGTGCAGGTGTGAAGGGAGGCTTCAGGTGGCCTGCCCAAAGATGCCTGGCCCCGCAGCCCTCCAGTGGACACAGAGGTTCCTCCTTGGGGGACTTGTATGTGCTAACTTGGCTCCTAGGGGGACAGGTGCCCACAACCGCTCCTCACACTGCCTCCGGGGCGCGCTCAGGCCGAGCTCAGCTCTGCGGGCTTGCATATTGGGGCACGAGGCCACTGTGTTCAGTGTCCCCTTCTGCACTGTGCTGGCCGTACCTGGACCGTCAGCTGGGTCAAGGCTTCAGGGGCTGTCCCACGTGACTGGGCCACCTGTCCCCACAGCGCTGCAGCTGTACCAGCAGAGGGAGCGCTTCCCCACACAGCACCAGCGCCTGAGCCTCGGCTGCCCACAGCTGGACCGGCTCCTGGGCGGTGGGCTGCCTCTGGATGGTATCACGGAGCTGGCCGGCTGCAGCTCGGCGGGGAAGACCCAGCTGGCGCTGCAGCTCTGCCTGACGGTGCAGTTCCCACGGCAGCACGGGGGCCTGGAGGCCGGTGAGTGCCCGGGCAGCCATGGGCTGTTTCCAGCCTGTTGTCCCCCGTCCCCTCCAACACAAGGCAGCAGCCAGTTGGCCCTCAGGTGCTCAGCACCACGTACACGGCCAGCGTCGCCTGCAGGGTCAGACCGAGCGGCCCTGGGACGGCTGGGCCCGTGCCCCTAGCCCAGCCCCAGCCGCAGCAGCTTTGCCGAAGGTGCCTTCTTGCTCGTCCCAGCACGTGTCTCTTCTCTTCTGCATCTCCTTCGTCCTGTGCTGGGGTGGGGCCAGGGCCCCACGCAGGACCTCGGCATGCTCTGCTGTTCCGTGTCCCTCGCCCCTTTTGAGACAAGGGCTAAGTTGCCCAGGCCAGATTTGAACTCTGATGCTCCTGCCTCAGCTTCACAGCGTCTCCTCGGGGTCCGTGTCCTCCACAGTGGGCAGGGCCTCGTGCTGTCATCTTTTCCTGGTATTGTCCTGAAGTACAGCGGTTTCCATCTTCAGTCAGGCTTACTTTCCTTCAGCTGTTTCTGTTTTTGGAGTCTTAACAACCGCTGCCTATCCAAAGTCGTGAAGATCTGTGCAAGGTTGTGCAGTAGCGCTCCCACTGACCCATTTTGGGAGTCAGTTACCATGTGGCAGCACGAACATACAGTTGTCCCAGCACCACTTGGGGGAGAAACTATTCCTTCCCCACTGGCTAACCCCAGCATCAACTGTTTTTGATTTTGAGACGGTCTCACTATGTAGTCCAGGCTGGTCTTAAACTTATGGGAATCCTCCTGCCTCGGCCTCCCAAATGCTGGGGATACAGGCGTGCACCACCATGCCCAGCTCCCGCAGCATCACTGTGGGAGCTCACTTTGCCTGTAAGCATGAGATTCTCTGTGGTGGCCAGGTTCTTACCCGCTGCAGGCTCTGGGGCAGGTTCCAGGTGAGGCTGCTGCCCATGACACACTGCCTGGCTCTTCCAGGGGGGTGCCCAGCCATGGCCATGTGGCTGGGGCCAAGGACACTTGCTCAGGGGATCTGGAGGGTCCACTGGGAACAAGGGAAGGACCTTTGTGAAACCCTCTCTGGCCCTGTGGTCCCCATGCTCTGCCACGCCCTGATGCAGGGTCTGGGATGGGAGGCACAGCCTGGTGTCAGGGTGGGGCAGAGCAGAAGGTGGGGAGTCGTCCGTGTGGGACAGCATGGTGGCCCAGCCCATGGCAGGCACTCTGGCTCCGCAGGGGCCATCTACATCTGCACGGAGGACGTCTTCCCCAGCAAGCGACTGCGGCAGCTCATTGCCCAGCAGCCACGGCTGCGAACGGATGTGCCAGGGGAGGTGGTCCAGAGCATCAGGTTCGGGGACCGGATCTTCATCGAGCACGTGGCCGACGTGGTGAGTCTCCCGCAGGCCTTGGAGCACAGGCCAGGACCTCGTGACCAGGGGCAGGTAGAGGCGGTGTCGGGTCAAGGCTTGGAGGAGGCAGGTGGGTGACCAGCCCCACCTGGGGTGGAGGACAGAGCCATCCAGGTGGGGGTCCAGGTGGGGGTCCTGCTGGATACAGGCCGGGAACTGCTCACTGTGCTGTGGCAATCTGCCCCGCACCCAGCACTTGGCCCGAAGGCTGTACTCCAGGGCCCTCCTGCCTCCCGCCCCAACCCCCTGCCCACTTGCCTGATGCCGCCTCCACCGCATGCCCTGGCTGGGGGAGGTGTGGCACCTACCTCCCAGGACAACCACCTCTGGCATCCAGAAGAAGGGCCCCCCAGGGCTGCTGGGCGGGGGTGGGGGGCACTGCGGCTCACACACCCACCCCCCCTGCACAAACCAGGGGCTCCATGTTGAGAAGAAATTCAAGTGAAGGATGAGGGTATAAACTTTTACTTTTAAAAACTTTACAATAAAATACATTCTCACACACACGCAGGGAGCTAACGCGTGAGCGGTGACACGGGAGGCCCTGGTAGGTGCAGCATGGGGTCCAGTGCGCGGCCCCCGGAGGGACAGTGTGCGGCCTGCTACCCTGCCTGGCCGCACCGAGGCCTGGGATGCGGGTGGTGGTTAGTGTGGCCTCCGGCACGGTCTGGAGACTGAGCGCTGAGGGCCCCGTCCTCGCCCTGGCCGTCACAGGGCCAGCTCCGGGCCGCTCACGGTGGTGGCAGCCGCATATGGCGTCCTACAGCAGGCCAGGCCCAGTTCACTGTGGGAGAGGCCACGGTCAGCGCCCAGGGCCTGACCCAGGCCAGCATGGACGGAGCCCCGTGGGCATCCCAGCTGCCCCAGGTGAGCCTTCAAGGGTGTGGGCACTCACGTTAGTGCTGGCGTCTTCTAGGCTGCTGCTGTCGTTCTCTACGCACAGAGGCTCCGCTGGGGATGCCCTGGGGAGAAGCAGACTGCATGTCACCCTGGCGTCAGCCGTGTCCCCAGGCTGCCAAGTCTTGGCCCTGTGGCCACCAGTGAGGCCTTGCTGTGCCCAGCCCCACCCCTTGCACCCGATACTTCACTGCCTCGCCGCCCAGGCCATAGCACACTGCCATCAGCTGCTGCCCAGCACAGCCCACCCGTGCCCTGGACCCCAGGGCACGGCGGCCTTAACGTGCGCAGGAGGCCAAGCTGTGACGGGTCCCACCGGTGCGCGAGAGGGGCTGCAGAGCTGCGTCAAGCTCACCTGATGGTCACATCAGGTGACCAGGGTGGTCACCTGCCGGCCATGGGAGCCACACAGAGAGGGGCAGCAGCTATGGGAGGGCTGTGTGGGTGAGGGGATGCGGCGCGGCGTCCCTCCCAGGTGGCAGGAGGCAGCCAAAGGGACAGCACTGCAGCCAGAGGCATGGTGACCACTGATACACGCCCACCCTGCAGGACGCTCTGATGGAGTGTGTGAGCCGCAGGGCCGCCCTGCTGCTGTCGCGGGGCCTTGCGCGCCTGCTGGTGGTGGACTCGGTGGCAGCCCCGTTCCGCTGTGAGTTCGGCAGCCAGGCCTCGGCAGCCCGCGCCCAGTGCCTGCAGTCACTGGGGGCCGCACTGCGCCGCCTGAGCAGCACCTTCCAGAGCCCCGTGCTCTGTGTCAACCAGGTGAGCTCAGGTGCAGGGACAGCAGGGCCACTGGGCCAGGAAGTGGCCTCCTGGGGCCGAGCAGGGGTGGGTCACCCTTGGCCGCCACACTGACCCCTGTGCTCTTGTAGGTGACGGAGGCCGTGGAGCAGCCAGGGTGAGTGCTGGGCCACTGCATGGGGCGGGGGAGCCCTGAACCCCTGAGCAGCAGTGTCTCCTCCTGTGTGTCCCAGGCCCCAGGACAAGCACCTGTGCCCAGCCCTTGGCATCACGTGGGCCAACCAGCTCCTCATCAGGCTGATGGCCGACCGCACCCGCGAGGAGGAGGCCGCACTGGGCCCGGGCAGCCGCCCGGCCCGGACCCTGCGTGTGGTCTTTGCGCCCCACCTACCCCTCTGCTCCTGCTCCTACACAGTCAGCGAGGAAGGGGTGCGGGGGACGCCAGGGACCATGGCCTCAGACACGGGGCAGCTGCAGAACAGCCTGGCCCAGGTCCCGAGAAGCCTGATTCTGACTGAGCAAGAACTGGGTCGCAGGGACCCAGGCATCAAAGTCGCCGAGGTCTCCCACGAAAACACCAGCTCCTCAGGAGGGAGCAGGTGACAGGGTTGGGGTGCTAGCTCTGCCCAGCTTGTTGGGCCTTGGCACTTGCCCCACACTCAGGCCCCTGGAGGATGGGGAGCTCTCACTGGGGCCGGTGGCTTCTGGGGTCTCTACAGTGCCACCCTAAGCACAAGGGCTGCTCGTGCCGTTCTCTCCTTTCTCCCTAGTGTCCACCCCGGACGGGGTGAGCAGCTTTCCCAGCTACCAGCACCTCCCACAAAGTCCTATGTAGGTCCCCACAACCCCTGAGGCCTGGCCCAGGAGCACCCCCCGGCCCTAGTGCAGGTGGAGGAGATGCCAGGATGGACCCACAGGGACAAACCACGTCTGACATGCCCTGCCCCAAGCCCAGCTGGGGAGTAAGGTGCTGCCACCTGCCTGGCCCCTGCGCCCCAGCCCAGCCAGGGTGCCAGCCATCCAGCAGTGGGCTCTTGTGACCCCAAACCAGACCCCTGGTCATGGACACAAGGCCCAGTGATCACCTAGGCTGTGGTCTCTGCAAGAAAGGCCAGGACCATTCAGTCTGTGCCCCTAACAGACGTGCAGTGGACGTGCTGGGGCAGCGCCTGGCCCTTCACTTAGGAGCCGCTGTCTGCCAGGCGCTGCCCACTGACCGGTGGCCTCCCTGCTCTTGGAGGAAACTGAGGCGTAGGCCTGCCCTGTGGCAGCTTGTTCTCCTACAGCCGGCACGGAAGAGCCTAAAGTGGGCAGAAGTCCCAAGCCCAGACAGTCACTAGTCACTCAGCCACTGCAGCCCTGAGAGTGACAGACTGCTTGCTGCACAGAGCTAGAACGGTGTTGTCTAGGAATTAGGTTTTTACCCAACAGTAAGTAATAAACGTTTTATTTTGGTAACTAAATGTGGCCAATTCTGAGTGATTTTCCAGGCAACATATCAATCAGAAAACAAACTACAGCGACCCTCCTGCGCCTGCGTCTCCCGGGACAGATGCACAGAACTCGCGGCACACCTGACAGCCCCAACCCTCACCTGCACAGCGCCAGGTCCGTGTTCACTCTGGGCAGAGCTGTGCGGCGTGCAGGAGCGCGTGCCACGCGGGTGACCTGCCCTCCAAGGACCTGCCACAGTCATGGCAGTGGAAGACAGTAAACACGTGTGCACACTTTGGGTTATGCAATGTGCCACTGCGAGCACCGCGTTCCCACAGCAGTGCTGTGCGGAGCAGTCCTCCAACCCAGGAGTGTGGTTTTGTTCTGCATGCTGGCGGTGGAGCCAGAGCTCAAACACTGAGCTGTATCCCAGCCCAGATTATTTGAATCCTAGGAATTAATCCCGGAAACCCCTGAAACCAAGTACCACCAGGGAAGCAGCTCTGTGCCGCCGCCCCACACCAGGCAGCTGTGGCAAGTCACCAGGACTTCGTTCAACACCCTGCACTGCAAGGTGACATCGGCCTGTCTGCCACTTCATGTGTGCTGGACAGCAAGTGAGAAGCGGTGTGGCTCTCCCACGAGGCCCTCCTCCCCCGGGAACACGGCCCGCCTTGCCAGCCAGTACAGGACCAGGGCAACTCCACACAGTCCTGTCTGCGCGTGCATCAGTCCCAGCCAGCCAGAGGCTTCGGACCAAGCTCTCCTGTGGGCCAGTGTACCCCCCGCCCCCCGCCGTGCTCTGTTCCTGCAGAGGACCAGGTTCTGAAGCAGCACCAGCCTACTGGCAAGGGAAGGGCCTGGCCTGCAGTGGGAAGCAGCACCTTCTCCCAGCTGGACATCAGAGGCCTGCGACACTCACGCATACCTCTGTGGACACAGCTGTGTGGGGACTGCTGGGATCACTTCCAGATGGCCTGGAAACAAGCTCCTGACCCGAGGCTGTGTGCTTCCGGTAGAGCCAGGGTGAAACTGGAGCAGGGTGGGCACGACAACCCAGAGTGCAGCCTCTCTGTGCCAGAACCCCAGATGCGCCATCGCTAGCCTCGGGCCCACATCCAGGCAGCCAGGTAGTGCCACCAGCCCCATGCAGGGGAAGCCAATGAAAGTAAGTGTCTTGTCTTTGCTGTGACACCACCTATACTGCTACACTAAAACCAGCCTGACGTTTCATAAGGACAGTCAGGTTTCAGACTAACCACACGCTGAGAGACCCTGGAAACCGAGATGGCCTCAGTGGTCTGTAGGGGTGAGGGGTGTGGTATGGTGCTGCCTTAGCGCAAGGCTGCATCTCCCAGCCAACAGGACAGTCTGCCACCCTGCCCTGAATCCATCAGAAAAACCATCAAAAGCCACCCTTGAGGGGGCATTCTAAAAATAAAAGACACATACATAAATAAATAAATAAATAAATAAATACACATGACATGTCCAGATTCTCAGTGTGTGGGGACCTGCGACCACAGTCACCACGCCAACACCACGATGGCCCTAACCAAGCACCTGGGGTGGAGCCTCGTCTTCCTGCCCCTCCGCTCCACAAGTCCCAATCCATCCCTCCCTGCCTCCTCACCCCCGCTGCCACGAGCCTATCACCCCAGCTGATGTCACCTTTGCCGTTCCAATATACACACGTGTGATGCTAAGCTTAAACAGACATTAGCGGCAGGACAGCAGGTAGCAACTGAGGTTCGGGTGGTTGTGCGTAGGTTCTGGTGTGCAGCAGCCCCAGCACTCACATCAGCCCCGTAACAAAACCCAGGCACAGGCCCCCACTGCCCGGTCGCTGCCACCACCCAGGAGAGGAAGCTGGTGCTGCCTGGAGGCCAGCAGGGTCTCGTGCTGCTGCTGTCCAGCTCTTCTAGGCCCCCAGTGGGCCGGCTCAGTGTGGCTGGCACACAGCACTCTCGAGTCTGCCACACGATGGTTTCCCTCCGCACAGAAAACAAATGGGAAATTTGTATCTGAGCAGTACTTCCAGGGGTGCCAGCTTCACATGCTCTTGGGCCAACAATGCCAGCTGCCCCAACTCCATGGCCCAGGGCCCAGGGCCCGAATATTCAAGTGGATGGCAAGAGATGGGGGCTAGGACTGTGTCACCCACCGGCCTCTGCAAAACAAAACCCTGTCCCTGGGCTAGCACAGTTGTTCCAAGGGGACCAAGACCTTGCCAAGCACAAGGCCCTGGGTTCAAGCTCCAGCCTACAACCCCACGTTCACTCAGAGCCAGGAATGCTTATAGCAAACCAGCCAGCTTCCCGCACCCTCTAGCTTCCACCTGCAGAGGAAAGCAGGTCCTGCTGTGATGGCCACGTTTCGTTGGCTGGATCTGGACACCAAGAGGCCTGTTGACCTACTGGTGTCAGGATGGGACAGGAGCTCTAGGCGCAGCAGTCACCATGACGGTCACAAGTCACAGCCACACCAGCTGCCCAGCCTGCTCGGCCGCTGAGCAAAAGGGCCAGGTTCTAGAGCCACCCAGGGACTGGCCACACCACACGGTCATACCTGAGGCTTAGGAGAAACAAAACCTGGAAAGGTCATTCGCAATGGACAAGAGCGGCCATGAGTGTGAGTGTGAAGGTGAGACACAGCGTGTGCATGTGTGTGAGGGTGGGACAGTGTGACAACGTGTTGTGTGACATCATTATGCCTACAGATCCTGACACCTTTAAAACATGCTGTCCACTTCACTGGACCAGGGGTTAAACACTTCCTACAGCCTAATTAAGAACTGGCCAAGCTCTGACAGGATCGGAATCAACTGCCCAGGCCAAAGTGGTGCCTGCTGGGGAAAGAGCAGCCAGCCCTCAGCCACAGTGACAGCCGCGGGACCGGGGCCATGGTCTTCTGCAGCCTGGACACCCAGAGAGCTCATACACTCAGGCACCCGTATGTGGGTGTGCAAGGGCAATGAGCAGCACGACGACCACCTGGCCACAGAAGACGTACAGTGTCTGCTGAGGAGGGAACGCCTGGGGCAGAGACCCCAAGGGACGCGATGGCTGAGGGCAGTAACCTCGGCCGTCACAGCCCCTCTGGCCACTGAGGCACCAGGCTGGGAGTGGCAGCAGTCTCACCACAGGTTACCGGTGACACTGAGAGCAGTGACAGGGGCCTACTTTGGAAAAGTAAAACAAAGCAGCAAATGAAAAGGACGTAACTCTACAATCTCTAACAAGTTCTCCAAAGGAGCCCCAGGCCTGAGCTAAACAGCACTCTGGCCTAAGGGGGACCTTGGTGGCAGGGAGCACCCAGTGGGATCCCTGCACGGAAGTGTCCTGGAGCAGGACAGGACAGGGCCTGCCGTGACACCTGCCGCAGAGACCCTTGCCAGGTGATGGCAATGTCAGGAGACTCCAAGACCAAGGCATCGGCCTTTTATGTAACACCTCTTGCTCTTAAAAATCCAAAGCCCAAGCTCCTCGTGGTAAAGCTGTATGATTCCAGCCCCTACCGAACATTGCTTTTCTCTCCACACCAGTAACTGCCTGGGGTTTAACACAGTCGTGGTGAACATCTGACCTTGAAAGATGATGTAAAGATTAAAAGAATTCCAGCTAATGCTGATTTACAAATAATGCCTATCTAGAGTGAACAAGTCCCAGCACTCAGCTTTGTGATAGTTAATCCCCGCTTTTCACTGCAGAGTCTTTCTTTGAACACATTTTTAAAAAAATCAACCCCACAAATCTTTGAAGGCATCAACCCTTTTAGCCACTGAGAGGAAGCTTCCAGTTCCTTCTCGGCCTGTCCTGGATGCAGCAGATAGAACCCGCTGGGCCTCCCCACTCCGCGGGCCAGCCTCTGCACTCCTCGGGCCAGGCCTCCCCACTCCGCGGGCCGGGCCTCCCCACTCAGCGGGCCAGCCTCTGCAGGAGTCCAGCGCGGACGCAGGGAATAGTTACCCGGGGCTCCTCAGCTCACTCTCTCGTGAACTTCCTCCCTTCAGCTTCCTAACCAGCTTCTCGCTGCTGCGTCTAATGGAAGCCCGGAGTTTGCTAAAGGAACCACTGCGCTTTAAAGATCCAGTGCCGTCCTGAAAGAAATGTGAACAAGCGTGAAGCTCAGGGTCTCCCCACCCGGCACAGACCCTGGCCTGGGCCCCGTCCTCCTGCCGCCACTGACTGCACCAGAGATCACCCAAGGGTCACAGAAACTTTCAGCAGGAAGCTCAAACAATGGTGATCATGACCTCAGAGGAGAGTTAATTCCACTGCTGAACCGCGACCAAGGCTGTGTCCCAGGGAAACAGAACCCACCCATGGATGTCACCAAGGACTGGGCACCTGCGCACACATGGCCGGGAGGAGGGCTGGGCCCGGCACACAGCCCAGAGCCCCGGCAACAGAGGGGCACAGGATGGTTGCCAAGTGTCTGTGACAAATGTGGTTGGAAAATTAAAATGCTCATTTATACAATCAACTAAAAACCCTCAGACCCCTTGTGGGAAAGCAGGTGAAAGGACTGGCCAGCTGTCGACTCCTGGCCGAATCTGGACAGGAACCAGAGCAGGAAGCTGGGGGAGCACGTGACCCTGGGGCAGGGTCACAGCAGTGCCACCTATAGGTGCTGCACAGCATTCCTGGGGAGGAGGGCACCGAGCAGACAGACGCAGACACAGGTCAGTTGGAGTGAGTTTATTAGAAGTTAGAAAGACAGATACACACATCACTGAGCACTCAAAAGATTAGTAGAGAAAAGCAGAATTGCCAAAACTTCACACAAAGACTACACAGCAAATCTACTTCAGCGTGTCCTGGGCAGGCCCCGGGGCAGGGTGCACCAGGTCTCTAAGTCCACGGGGACGTGCAGCACATGCCTGACTCCTACAGCTCAGCGACTGTCCACAGGTCACCGTCATGCCACTGTAAGGACGCCTGTGTGACACCGTAACTACCTGTTATCAGAGGGAAGAGCTAATCGCTCTTAATTTAAACTCGTGTGGTACACAGTAAGTGGAGTTTATTAATACAGTGGGAATTACTAAGTACATATCTGGCAAAGCTACATGTATACAGAAATCAGAAACCCCAAGAGGACAGCAGCACCGAAAGGAACGGCCAGTCACAGAGGTGCAGCTCTGCCAAGCTCCTAGGGGCCGAGACACAGCGGGCAGTGCTGGAGAGAGAGGGACGGAGAGGCCGCCCGTCGTGCAGGAGCAGAGGCACACGGGCGCTAGGCCTGTCGACAGAAAGGAGAGAGAGGTGAGCAAGAGGAGGCAGGCCCGCTCCGCAGCTGCCTTCACAGTATTTCTAGGTCACAGTCTCAGCAACACCGTGTGCTTGGTGCTGGGCCCGGGTGTCCGACAGCGAGGCTGGCCTGCTCTACGTCACTAAAGGGCAAGCCAGCACTGCAGAGACAGACCAGCACTAGGTCACAAGTCCCGACATTTACCATCAAAGGTTTCACAAGCAACGTCTGTAAAGGGGATTCAGCAATGAAGACTGTCTGGGTACACAGTAGGGCTGCACACAGAAGACCACTCATTATGCTTGTTCTTGTTCATCCTGAACTGTGAAATTCTCCCTGAAATTAGGTATGACTTTCGTTTTCCTAAAAACACTAACATCTGAGATCTCAGCAATTTTAAGAGCCACTGACTTCACAAGTCGACAGCACATAGCATGCAGCTGGCAATCCAGGTAAAATGACTCCACAGGCAGCAAGGTCCCGGGGTCCTGCCTGAGTGGCAGCTGTCGTCGCAACAGGAGCACAGACAGCAGGGCCTACCCCGCCGCTCGGACTCACCAGAGGACGCTGCACAAGTCACTTAACCAGCCCGAGCTTCATCTTTCTCATCTTTAAATGGAAAAATAAGACTTGTTACCAGTGCCTCCCAAGTGACAGGAGGACAAGAAAACATAAGTTCCCAGTGTTCCTTAAAAAGGATGCTAAGTGCTGCATCTCCTGCGGTCTCTGCATCTCAGGGTCCCTGCAGCAGGGCACTCACACACCCCAAGCTGGACCCTTGCAGAATGGGGAATTTCTCGCCTCCCTCCCCAGCACACAGGGTCCCTTGGCCCACACGCACGTACGCACACGCTTGCAGCTGGCTCAGGCAGACCTGGGTATCATCAAGCCCAGAGTACCCGCCCTTGCTGCCCACTGAGGGTAGTCCGTCCCTCGGCCGTCTGCCCCCCCACCCCCCACCTCCCGTGCTTGCCCCCGGGGACCTGCACCTGAGCATCAAAGCAGGCAGAGGGCTGGGGGGTGCATGCGCTCTGACACATCTTCGCTTGCCATCAGGTACCACATTACAAAGCAGGTTTCTCAGCAGAAACCAATCGTGCAATGCAGTGATTACCCTGGTGAGTATTATCTTTGAATAGTTACACATTGCCTTTTTTCCTTTTTGGTATATCTAGTTGTCTTCCAGTAATTTTTCAAAGATAAAAATTATTTCTAGTAACAGAGATTTCATTCCGCCTTAACCCTCCTCAGTGAGAACTGACTGTGGTAGAAACTTACAGCGTCTCAGCCCAGGAGTGGTGTGAAAGGGGAGGTGGCTGAGGCTGCCGCCGCAGGACCCCAGATACAGGTGGCACTGCCTCGGGCTCCTGCGGTGTCACCACAATGACACCGTAACCACAGTGCAGAGGGACTCAAGGCCTGGGCCTGTTCCTGGTACATATGCCCTCACAGTGGACACAGAGCCTCGGGGACAGAGCTGAAGGCCTGGTCTCATGCACAGCAGGGATCTTCAGCGGGGCACCTGCCTCCTGTGATGGCCAGGCGATCATGCCAAATCACACCTCGGCGTCACAGGGACCCCGTGTCAGGAGGCAGACACATCCTGACCTTGCTTTGGGGACATGGAGCCAATGCTGGCAGGAGCAGCTACTCAGGCCTCGCCTGCTCATCTTTGACATTACACTTTGGTTTAGATGCTATTTCTGAATACTGACACAACTTCAGTCTCTCATCCTATGTAAACAGCTACTGTAGCTTACAGCCACTGTGTTCACCCCATGGCCTCCCTGCTGAGGCTGTGGCTGTCTGAGAACAACACACGTGTCTCCTGATGTAGGGTTCTCAATGTTTTAAAGAACACTGAAATCCTTTTTTAAAAAAATAATCCCACCCACCTGGGAGCCTGAGGCAGGAAGATCTCAAGTTTAAGGTCAGCCTAGACAACTTGAGACCCTGTCTCAAAATAAAAAATAAGGAAGAGGGTCACATGTAGCTCAATTGTAAAACACTTGCCCAGCGAGTGTGAGTCTCAGATTCAATCTCCAGCACAGAAAAAAAAGTTTAGCATCTTATGCCAAATATAAAATGAAATTTAGGTGGCATTTCCTCACTGTAAGTGTCAGTAAGAACAATGAAGCTATCTTTATGAAACTTGTAACCTGAAACCTAAAGCTGGAGTGACAGGCATAGCAGTGACATCTACCTCATGGCCAGTTTATTTTGCTATTTTACCTAAACTACATATTACTGAACGAAACCTTGATGCACATGTGTAAGTGGTTGCCAGCAGTAACCATTTTTAAGCTGCTGTACAATCTCAGGGAAGTTTCTCTTAAACTTAGCAGGAGAAACTTTTCTATTTCTGGTACAGAGATAGACCAACATGCTGTGCTGCAAATTTCAACTCTAACCCAAACGACTCTTCAGACAGACTCTGTTTATTGCCTGTGACAACTTCGCAGCACAGCAGACTGAAAAGAAGCACCTGATGAGGTGTGCGGGCGCAGGCTGTGACCCAGCACTCTGGGGGGCTGAGAGAGGAGGACCACAGGTAGGAACGAAGCCTGGACCATTTATCAGCTTAGCAAGACCCTACCACAAAATAATAAACAAACAAAGAGCTAGACCTATAGCCTGGTATGAAGGTCCTGGGTTCAATCCCCTACACTTCAAAAAGAAAAGAAATCTCAAGTGTGCACACTGCAATCACTACCTTATTAAAACAATGAAAACACGCTTTGAAAATAAAAGTCAATCAAAAGCCAGGTGTGCTGGGCATGATGGCACATGACTGTAATCCCAGTACTTGGGAGGCTGAGGCAGGAGGATCTTTGTGAGTTTGAGATCAGTCTAGGCTACAAAGTGAGTTCAAGGTCAGCCTGAACTGCTAGCAAGAGCCTGTCTCAAAAAGACAAAAAGAAAAACAAAAGCCAGGGGAGCACAGTGCTGCCTCTGCCAAAAGAGCTGAGGAGGACAGTGAGCCTGAGGCACCCGCTCCAGAGGCTGGACCTGGCTCCCGCCCCACGACACTGTGCCACAGGGCTGCCAGAAAGGAACAGTGCACTGCCAGTGCAGCATGTCCACGGGGAGGGCAAGAGGAACCGGCACAGGCTCGGAGGAGCAAGGCTGTCACCCACGTCTGTGGGGAAGGCACCAGGCAGGCCCCGGGCAGTCCTTAAGACAGGGCGCAACTCTGGGATGGCAACGATCCCGCCACGGGGTTCATGTGAGTGTGGACCTAGAAATACTGTCTCGAAGAAAGTCCCTCCAGAACCTCACCCAGGAGTCGCTGGGCGCGTGGCTTCAGCAGACCAAGCAGCAGGCCCCCCAGACAAAGCATGCAGGGGCCGGAGTGGCCACGAGAGGAGGACAGGACACAGCTCAGATGGGAGCAGCACGGATGGCCTCCTGGCCTTGCTGTAGTTTACAACCACTGCAGCCAGGTTGGTGCCATCAGAGTAGATGTTGATTGACTGTCTTGGCACAGAAAGAATCACAGCAAGAAAACTGAGAGGTGAAGATGGTCCAGAGAATGTTCTCTCCGTAATTTCGGCTTCTAACATTTTCTACAAAGTATCTGATCGGGATGCTAGCTCCTACCCAACAGCTAAGCTATATAAAATTCCAAAGAATAAAGAGACTGAAAATGTAAGACTGTAAGAAAGTCCCTTACGTAACACTGTAATCTAACAAAACTGCACAGTTACAACATGTACTGCACGATAACAAGCTCCATGCCAGGGAACTAAATCCTGCATCCAACTCTTCCTGCTGAAGGCAAACTTCCAAACACACCAGCTCAGCGCACATACAGCCATCCACCTGTCATAGGAGCCCCAGGGGCCAGCTGGCTGCCACTGGGTACGCAGCAATGGGGGACTTCCCCAGAGAGCAGGACGGCGAGGCAGGGCTGCGCAACCTCTCGGGGTCCGCTTGTGTGAACAGCCAGGCAGCCCCAAGGAGCTGGGCGAGCAACAGAGAAGAATGGACTGGCCCAGTGGGCCGCAAGAGGGGACATGGGATGTTCAGGACTGAGCAGGACAGCAGGACAGCAGCCATACTACACTGTTGCTCATGAGCTGCTCTTTTTGAGAGCAAGTTCTAATTAAACAGCTTCTCCCATGAAGGCAATTTAACCAATAAATCCAGAGCAGCTGCTCAGTGAGGTTAGGAGCCTGAGTTAGCAGTGAGACAGCAGGTTAGCTGCGAGTTAGTTGTCCGCCAGGCTGGGCCCTGCGCGGCCAGGACACTCAGTCAGCATGCAGCCCTCAGTCAGGGCTCCTCGGGAGGAAGGCACCCTTCGCAGGCGGGGACTGCAGGGTTAGCTCGAGTTAGGACTTACAGCAGCCTCCCTGGCACTGCGCTGAGGAGAGCGGGGCGAGCGCGGGACAGGGGACGCCGGCCGCGTGCTGTGCGTACTTACCCCGTTCCACTCTACGCTCATACTCACTTCCTCCCCGCCATCAGCGCCGCTCTCGTACTTGACCGCGTCCGAGCTGAGGCTCTCCCGGCTCCGCCGCTTCTCTGAGCTCTCAGGGTCGCTGAGCACTTCTGCCACTCTCTGCTTGTGAGCAGTGTCAAGACCCTGGGCCAGGCACAGAGAACGTTAGCACTTCCGGCTGGGCAGACTCAGGCACTCCCACTGTGCCACAGCAGAGCCTGCTCTTATCACAAGAAGGGAGGAGTCAGAACCATAACAAAGAGTCCCCAGGAGACGGGCAGGCTTGGGTCACAGGGGCACACACTGCCCTGTAAATCCAGAGCACACCACACTCTGTAAATTCCCTCTCAGATTAAAAAGCTATAAGCAAACACCGAGCCCTACCTAATGATCTGTAAACTGAAATACTTGGAAGTAGATCATGTCTACAGAGTATTAACAGATGGATGGACATGACAGATGTGATGAAAGTATCTAAAACCTTCACAACACATCTTGATGGCAGCTGGGCGTGGTGGTGCACACCTATAATCCTAGCACTGGGGAGGCCGAGGCAGGAGGATCAGCACAAGTTCAAGGCCAACCTGGACTACATAGTGAGTTCAAGGCCAGCCTGAACTGCACAGAGACCCTGTCCCAAAAAGAAAAAAAGAAAAGGCACACTCTCGGTAGCAGATCAGAGTGTAAAATTCACTCAACCCTTGTGTACGTGTGAAAAGTTTCATGGGAGGCTGAGAAACACCCAGTTTTTATTTTAGTACCCTGGGGTTTCTGGCTTCCAAACTAGTGCGAGGCTGAAGACTCAGATATCTTTCTTCTGGCTGACCTTGTCTACCGCACTGCTAACCTACAAGAGGCCATTTCCAAGCACACTCCACCGTGGGGAGTGAGGGTAGAGGGGGCCTGCGTCCTCTCCTGTGGTTCCGTCTTGTGCCAGGCAAAGCAGGCCAGCCCTGTGACCCAGTGGGCACGTCCTCAGGACCTGGCGGTGTTGCGCTGCTGCCTGGCACTCCGACCCAGTGGGCTGCCACTCTCGTCCTCACAGGCACAGCCCCTCACAACTCGGTAGGGACACATGCTAGGCCTGCTCCGCCTGCTGCAGCTGCCCCAACTCCTCAGCTGCCTCTGCTCACTTTTCTAATACAATCTGGATTCCACAGCAAGGCCTCAACAGTGGCCTGGTGAGACTAGGCCGCAGCACGCCGCACACATCAGCCACCCCACGCCACAGGAGCAGCCACACCAGGAGCACCCTCACCTGAGCAGCATCTGTGTCCTGGTTTCAAGGTGGGTCGCAGGAGTTTGAGCGTGTGCCTCTGCCCACCCTCGACCAGGCCCAGGGGCCCCAAAGCACCAGCCAGGACTCGACACCTTCTCTCGCCACCCAGGGACACTGTTTTTAAAGAAATGCTCCAAGGTATCTATGTGTAATTTTAGTCCAAGCTAAAAGCAGCTGTGAGTCAAGAACCACAAAACAGCCTACATGTATTCCAATCAGGGGAATTCTACACACACCTGCCTGCCAGCTACCACAGCCCCCACTACCACATTCAGTACATGCATGTGCCTAAGAACACTGAACCCTCCCACCAACCGCGGCTGCCAAAGGCAAGAACGAGGCCTCCTTCCTGCATTTTCTCCACAGACTGTATTTCGACATAACTGCATATCCCTAGACTGTGGAGGGCAGGGCTTCCTTACAGAGTTCCCACTAATAAATCAGTAATCAACCCAGTGACAGAGAGAACTGAATGAACAGGCCGCTGCCAGCGAGTCAGGTCTCTCCTCCTCAGAGTCTGCAGAGCGGGAACCTCCACACAGCTGTGGGCAGGCCAGGCACAGAAGGACCCAGCTGTGCACAGCTGCCCCCAGCAGGCAGCATCCAAGGTAGAGCAGCTCAGCGGGGGTGGCCAGAGGCAGGACCCCAGAGATGTCTGGGACTGAGTGGAGGGTGACTGCACATTCTAACAATGCACTGTCACTCATGATTAGATACAAAAGATAAAGACGCTGGGGCCCAAAGTATTTTCTTCGGAAACTTAGCTTGAAAACCCAAGACAACATGAAAGTAGGTGCCGAGCATGGTAGCACAAGCCTGTAACCCCAGCACTCGGGAGGCTGAGGCAGGAGGATTGTTGCGAGTTCAAGACCAGCTTGAGCTACAGAGTGAGCTCAAGGCCAGCCTGAACTGTACAGCGAGACCCCGTCTCAAAGACCAAAAAAAAAAAAGGAAGTGGGGACAGCACCAAGCGTGCCCACTGAGCCCTCACCCGGGCGGGGCCAACACTGGCGGGGATGGGCTCAGCAGTACTGCCCTCTGCCAGGTTCCTGCGTCTGCAGGGGCAGTAGTGGCTCTCCAGGCGCCAACGCTGCGCTATGCAGCTATGGGTACCAGCTGCAGGTCCTTCCGCAGGGGCGGGTGCCCCTGCTGGGAACAGGCACACAGGCACAGCACATCGATCCACACGGCTCCTCGCCCACACCACGTGTAAGCCGAGTGGATGCAGACACAGGCGGCATGCAAGGAATGTGGCTCCTGCCTTCTGTGCCACTCAGCCTCCCCAGCCTCGATCCTGTGCTCCCAGTGGGCATCAGCTGCTTTACAGCACAGTGCTCACGTGCTGCCTGGTCCTCAGGCGCCAAGCTACAGCGCGGGGGCCGTGAGTCAGGCTTAGTTCTGCGCGTCACACTGGCTGCAGAGGCCACAGGAAGTAAGGTGCACCGAACCAGCCCACGCTGTCTCTGAGGTCAGCGGGTTAGGGTTTGCTCGTTAGTACAGGCAGTGCCTTTACAGACACAAGGGCTTGGGGGAGGGAAGACGGGCTCTGGGCGCCACATTCAGCTCTTTTGGGTCTTGCCATGGCTTGGACCTGGGATGTCCCCTCAATCCCCTCAAGGCCCAAGTTCGAAAAGCTCTGCCCCTGCCTGGTGCAGTCAGTGGGGGCACCTAGTGGGATCTGCCATCCTGAGGCCCCCTTCCTCCTCCTCCCACACCCCAGCTGTAGACAGGGTGAGCACTCTGTGCGGTCACGCGCCGTGACAGGGCGGCTGCACAGGGCCAGCCACCCTGCAGGGAGGCCGAAGTCTCCCGTCCCTCTTCACCCCAGCTGCTCCCACGTGTCTCAGTGATGGGAGCTGACACAGGCACACCCGAGGACCAGGTCTGCCTTTGGAAGGACCATCAACTGCTCCCCATCGCTGCGCCACCCACGGTCCCACCAGGGCACAGAGCTCCGGGCTCTGCCTGCTCTGTCTCTTTCCCGGTGCTGCATGAGGCACCTGACTGCAGCCAGTGCGGCACACAGCTCCGAGGCCCAGGCGCCAGGGCCTCCTGGCCACATCCGGCTGCACTGCGGGAAGCCGTCTCGAGGCCCTCGCTCACTGCTCACACAGCTGTGTTCAGCCTGCACATGTTCTGGGTCCCGGGCCCTTGCCCAATACATGGCTTACATGCACCCTAACTCGTGTGCTCATTCTTTCCGACCTTTCACTTTAGAGGTATCCTTTAATGTCCAGATGTTTTTGCATTTTTTGACTCAATGGATCTAGTTTTTCTTTTACCATCTGTGTTTTTGGTGTTATATTAATGGTATTTTAAACAATGTTACTTATACAAACTAAAATATTTCAGATTTCCTATTTTTTTTAGTACTCACTGGGATGGAACATAGGTTCTCACACCTGCTAGGCAAGAACTCTACTACTGAGCTATCCCCCTAGCTCAAGATTTTCTAAATCAAGCCATCAATAAAAGCTGTATAATGGCAGGCATGGTGTTGCACACCTGTAATCCCAACTACTCAGGAGGCTGGGGCAGGAAGACTCCAAGTAGAGCCCCAGCCTGGGCAACTTAGTGTGACCCTGTCTCAAATATAAAATTTTAAAAGTGTTGAAGTAATAGCCCCGCAGTAGAGCACTTGCCTGGCATGCACGAGGCCCTAGTTTCAAGTCCCAGTGCTGAAAGCTCACAGCTCTTTTGTATGTTTGGTTTTTTGAGACAGGGTCCTCCTAGGTAGTTCAGACTGGCCTTGATCTCAACATATAATCCAAACTGGCCTCAAACTGACAGCGATACCCCTGCCTCAGCCGCCCCAGTGCTGGGATTACAGGAATGCACCCCCAGCTGTGTAATCTCGTACCTCTAATGGGTAAGTCAGAGGTATCTGACTCACCTGCTTACGTGACCTCATGGCGGCTTCTTCTAATGTTTCTGCAGCTTCAAATTTCCCCTGACGTCGGTAAAGTGCTCCAAGGTTTTTCAAAGTGGTTGTGACAGTTGGGCTGTAAGAAGGTGCATGAGACGCAGCTGTGAGAAAGCACTTTAGAGCAGCCGCTGCCTGCAGCACATGATCTAAGCGTCCACCAGGCCCGTATCGTGGGGCGTGCAGGCTGTAACTCCCCATAATCTTTGTATTCTGCTTTCCTGTTTTTCTTCCCCACTGTGCAAGCTACATCAGTGCCAGCAATCTACGGCACAGTGGCCAAGCCACAGTTTGCGGCCATTTGCTCTCGCATGGGAACTATGAGAGAGTGTTGTCGAGAGCCTGAGCTCGTGCAGCCCCACCACCCCATGTGTCAGACCCCTCAGGGCCCACAGCAGGCAGCTGCTATGGTCATCCAGGGGCTGGCCACAGAAGCGTGTGGCTGTCTGCTGTGTGGTCAGCACCCCCATAGCCAGAGCTCAGCCTGTGCAGGATGGGATGAGGGCCGGTGGCCATAGCGCTGCACATCCGAGCCTGGAGGCCTGGTCTCAGGAGATGAAGACGGCACGCACAGGGAAGAGGAGCTAGAGCCGAGGGAGTGTGGCTGCAGCCCTGATAGGGAGTCTTCCATGAGGCTAGAGATCAATGCTGAGACCCTGTAGCGCTACCACTGTACAGGACTTGCAGAGATGCTTTATTCTGTCACTAACAACAAGCACTTCAGGTTCCAAAATAAAGAAGCCACTTTCGCATCTCTGAGACAAGTGTGTAGCAGCGGAGAAAGACGTCCACTCTCTGTCTTAGGGTAACTGTGACAGGGCTCCCGGGGGAGAGGTGTACTGACTCCACACCAGGGCCCAGTGAGCTTTCTTGAGACAGGTGAGTGCTGCTCAGACAGGGCCGCAGCAGCGGTGGGGATGGGGCGTGCAGGGGAGCAAAGGCTCTGGGCTCAAGCACAAGGGCAGGCCACAGTGGGACTCAGACTCACCCCCAGAGCTGCTATGGGGGTGTGGCGGGGGTCAGCACTGCCCACATGGCCAGGAAAGCTTGCTACACGGTGGCCTCTCAAACTGCCCCCTCCAGCCACACTATGTGCCACATGCCTGCCCTGCGGCGCTGTGTGGCTGCCTGGGGGGCTGTTTTCCATATGAAGGGTCTCTTTTCCTCAGCCAGAACTCCTGCTGCTGCAGTGCAGACTGTGTGTGCTGACCCATTTCCACAGGCACTGGGCTCTCCTGCTGCAGGATTCAAGGGAAATATGGAACTGTGCACCCACACACTAAGAAGTTTGTACATCTGTCCTTTCCTAGCCTACCCCATGGACCTATCCCCTTCCCTCGCTTTGGGTTTTAAGCCAGACAGACCTACCTATCCACTTTGCAGGCTTTGTACCAGCCACCGTACTCTCCAAAGGACGTCCCATCCTTCTGCTTTCCCTAAAGTATGACAGATAATTTCAAATCAGTGATCGTCTTGAATCCCGGGCATCCAATTTAGAAAATCCCCAAAAACAGTTACAGCCTTACTTTGCACTCTTCTCTTTCTTCAGCATGCATCCAAATGGGCTTATTTTCGTCTAAGGAAGAAAAAATAACATTATAAATTGAAGACAGACAGCTCACTGGTCAAGTGCTGTGAGGTCTCAGCAACTGCAAGGTCTGGTTTGGTTTTTTTAAGGCCCTTCTTAGTCACTTCTCTCAACCGGGCAGGTCAGGTTGGAGCTGAAAAGGCCCCATGAGGAGGAGGGCGGGGCTGCCGCTCACACATCATCGCACTGCAGCCTCAAGATGCAGCCTGCAGGTGCCTGGCTAGCGGGGGCACCTGGGCGAACCAACCTGACACAGCCCAGCCCATAGCAAACTGCTCACAGAACACCTGCTAAGTACTCAGAGTTTGAGCAACTTCATATTCAACAAAAATCTAACAGATTAGTAAGATCTGGGAGCAAAAGTAGAAAGATACAAATCACTATTTCTTTAAAGTCTTAACCTAGAGAACATTAATACATCCCACTGGACAACCAACAGATCAATGCCATGTGGGAAAACAAATTTTTTTACGATACTAAGGATTTGCATAGAAAACTGCTTTTAACTAGAACCCAATTAACTGAGCTTCACACACTATCTGGAGCAGGAAGGAGCTACAAAATCAGAAGAAAACCAGTGTACCCCGTGAGAATGTTCTAGAAGCACTGGGAGCTGGCCTGATACTCCATGCAGTCAGCAAAGCTCTGCAGCTGGGTAAGGCAGGGCGCACCCTCTGCAGACTGTAACACACAGGCATGGCACTGCCCTGCTACAGCTGTGTCAGGCAGCCTCCCAGTGGTGAGCCGCGGTGTTCTTGTTCTTGGTCTTGTGGACAGAGATTTACCGCTCCACTTAGCAGCACGTAAACAAAGTGCATTTAGGGAGTATGTTTCCAAAATGGCTTCTGGAAACTATCAAAAACTTAACTTCTTCTGGCCCCAGACCCACGCTGCATGTCCTGGACAATGTCCTCAAGGTTGTCCCGGATGCCAAGAAGGAACCACCTATTCCTACCACTGTCGACTTCTCCCTGTGCCAAACCTTATAGGCAGGCAACCCTCATGAGGTAACCAGCCCCAATTGGACATGCAACCTGGGTGTCTAGAAAAATGGCAGAATGCTCTAGAATTTGGTTTCTTTTTTTTTTGGTACTGGGAATCAAACTCAGGACCTTGCAGTTGCCAGACACATGCTTTGTGCCGCTGAGCTATATCCCCGGCCCAGTGTCATTACTCTGATAACCACAGCAGGCACCTTGGGCCACAAGGGAGCAGGACAAACCCATACAGGAGGGCAAGTCCCGGGATTCTTTTTCTAGGGATGTAATACACCCCGCCAATAAAATGCCTCAGTGAATCAAATATATAGGTGTGTGAATGAACCAGAACAGCCCTTTCCTTCCATATGCTAAGGTTTCCCGCAGACCAGTATCAATTGTCCTCAGTCTGAATGCCTCTGTAACACATGATAAAGGAAAATAAGCACACAGATATTTTTCTCGAACAATTTAAATTCTGTGGATATAACTGTGAATTAAGCACCTACAATCTTTGAAGGAACACAATGGCGACATGACCATAGCTCTAAGACAAACAACTCAGAGGTGTGGGCCAAGGGAGGGGTTTGCACTTTTGCCTGAGCCACTGGGGGCTGGCACACCTGGAGAAGCCCTGGGTTACCGCACAGTCCAGGGTGCTGCTCTGGAGCTGGGGGTGTAGGCTGCTCCTGAAGCACGCACATATGAGACAGCACAGGAGAGGTGTCACAGGGTCCTCCTCAACAAAGCTGGCAGCAATACCAGGGACAGGGCATGCAGGACACACTCTTCTCACCAACACCGAAGAAGTGAAGAGCAAGCAGGCAAGTGAACATGCGGCCTGTGCCATGTCCTCTCTGCCAAGCACCACTGAGGAAACTGTGCCAACTTCCGCCTAGAAAGCTGATGTGAAGACTTGGGTCTCGCCCACTTCACGCTGAAACCCCTTTGGAACATACCACACAACTGCATCTGCCTGGAAGCAGGAGTGTATTCCTTACCATCCACAGAACCGAACTCCCGCTCATGTGCTCGGGTGAGAATCTCTTTGTACAGTGTTTCTGCTTGCTTGAACTTTCCTTGTTTCAGATAGCAGGATGCCTGAAAATAAAATAAAGGATTTAATGTCCACTACACAAATAAAACACGCATGTCTCTCTGCAGTGAGCAGCAGAATGCCGGGAAGCACTGCGATCCCAGCACGGCCCCTGCGTACCAGGTTGTTCTTGGTCTTGGCCACGTTGGGGTCATCAGGGCCCAGTTTTGTCTGGTAGATCTCCAGGGCCCTTTGGTAGTAATATTCCACCTCTTCATACTTGCCCTGGTTCTGGCACAGTAAGGCCAAGTTATTCAACTGCTTGGCAACATCAGGGTGATCCTTTCCCAGGACCTGGGAATAAACACCAGAAATCAGAAACACTGACTTACGTTACCATGGCCACCTCCTATCAGAAGGCTCCTTCTAAAACACACACAGGACTGCACTCCACGACCTGGCTCAAAGGGTCTCCATGCTACACAATGACAAAATGAACCAGAATCTACTCCTCCTCCTTCCGTGTGAGCATGTGTGTGCATGTGTGTGTGTGTGTGTGTGTGTGCATATGTGTGTGTGTTACTTGGGATTCACACTATGCTACAACTCCAGCTTTTTTTTTTTTTGAGACAGACTCTAAGTTGCTGAATTGGGCAGGCAGGATCAAATAACCCAGATCTATCTCCTTCACCCTTTACTGCCCAACCCTACACATTAAAACACAAGTCCAGGGGGGCTGGGGATTTAGCTCAGCGGCAAAAGCGCCTGCCTGGCAAGCGTAAGGTCGTGAGTTCAGTTCCCGGTACCAGAGAAAAAAAAAAAAAAACACAAGCCCAGGAGTGAAGCACTTTGTCCGCCCTCCCCAACACAACCTCACATCCTCGCTAGGATGGTCCCGACAGGGAGGCGTGGACAGACACCTGCACACCCTGACCACAGACACTGTCCTCTCAGGCCCGCCCCTTGCACACGCAGCTCAGCGAGGCGCACTGCCCTGTATGCTCCCCTCCACATGCCCCATCTCCCTGCCAAGGCAATGCTGGCCTCAGTCCCTGTTAGACTCTGGCCTTCCCTGGGAAGCCAAGGGAAGCCCACAGCCTGAGGTGCCTGTGCCGTCTGCTCTGCCCCGCCGGACGTCCCCTGTGGTCACCAAGCCGATCTAACAGACGGAGCTCCCAGGGAGGACTAAGCAGCAGGCTCTGGACAAATGAAGGAGCAAGTATGTGAACAAATTTTGCAGGGTCTTTTCCCTTTTTGCAGACAAGGCCTCACTAAGTAGCCCAGGCTGCTCTCCAAGTCCTGGGCTCAATGATCTTCCTGCTCCAGCCCCTTGAGCAGCAGAACTACTGGCGAGCTGCATGCCTGCAGGTCATCTTACTGTGCTCATAATCTCTGACACTTCTGTGTTCTCCCTGATTTCAGACCCAGCCCACTCAAATTTGACCATTTTACTTTATAAATATTATGTGGATGACCTACCATATTTCAGGATGAGCTCCTTTCATCTTCTAACTCCTCGCCATAACATCAACAACATCAAGTAATCAACCTCTCAATATCACAGATAAACAATCACAAAAAATGGCAAATTAAACTACGGCCCTAAGTCACTCGTGCATGTGCCTGTCCCACCTAAGCCTGTCTCCCAGTGCTGGGAGACAGCCAAGTCACAATGTTTCAACATCTGCTTACCACAGAGACAGCAGATGCTATTAAAATATACATGACACTGATGCACTGACAGCTCTGAGTTAATCTTTAGTTGTGAAAATAATTACTTATTTTTTTCTTTTGAGACAGGATCCTTTTCCTTTTAACCCAGGCTGGCTTCCGCCTCGTGGTCATCCTCCCACCTAAGCCTCCCGAGTGCTGGGATTACAGGCATGCCCCAGCACACCCGGCTCATTTCTTAACTTTGATAAAGCATGTGTGGTAAACTTATTTTTAAATAATGACATGCATCTTCCTTACTGACAAACACACACCCCTGTCATGTCGTTGTCCCCAGCAACGTCGTTTCTGGACAAAAGCAAGAGCTGTGGGACTCCACACCAAGGAATATGCCATCCTGAACACATGCTGCCTTAACACGGGTCCCTTAACACACACTGCCTTAACACCCAACTTTGTTTGGGGCGCAGTCCACCTTTGAGAACCAGCTACTTTCAGTAAATGCTTAGCGATGGCATCACAGTGCTCACCTTTCAAAATGCTAAATCTCTGCTATTCCGTACCTTCTCTCTGATCTCCAGGGCTCTCTTACACAGCGGCTCCGCCTCTTTGTACTTCCCGCGCTTACCGTACAGAACCGCGAGGTTGTTCAGAGTCGCTGCCACCTGCCAACACAGAGGCCACAGCAGCATGAGACGTTCCCACGGGCAGCTGCACACTGCTGACCCACAGTCACCAGTGCGCACTGCAGCGCTTGTCACTGGATAAGAAGGTGACTTCAGGTCAAAGGACCAGCGCAGCTCCCTGCAAAGTGAATCCCCCAGCAGTGCTGTACACCAAGTTCTAAAACTAAACAAATCAGCATCAACATGATCATGATTTTTAAAATTTCCCTGGAAGCCAATCAAAAGAGAGCTCTGTGCAAATCGGACCAGATTTTTATAAAAAGACAATGCAAATTCCCAACAAACCAATCTAGAAAATGACATGCAGTCTGATTTGGGATCAAAGGGGGCAGCTGGTGGTCCATTCGAGGTGTGGCTCTCACAGGTCAGGAGTGACTGAAGCAGTGAGCAGCAGAGCTGCAGCCCAAGGCGGTCACTGCCCGCAGGCAGAGCCCTACCTGTGCCAGCTGAGAGCAGGTGGCTGTCAGGCCCTCCCTGTTAAATGTGACACTGAGATGAAGTGGGCAAGAATATACTGGGGAAAATAAAATGTAAAAGACTGAAAGAGCCAAGTATACAAACCGCAGGATGGTCCTTGCCCAGAGTTTTCTCACGGATGGCCAAGGCATCATTCAGTAGATTAGCTGCATCTTTGTATTTGTTCTGGTCCCTAAATTGAGAAACACACAGTGAGTATGAAGCTGCAGATGACTAACCCCAACCTGTCCGTCCACTAGCACCAGGGGCTAAGCCCAGAGTCTCACATGTGGGAAGCACATGCCCTAACACTAAGCTCCACCCAGCCTCCAAAATCTTCGGTGTAACTTTGGAGCTATAAAAATACAGGATAGGCCCCATTATTAAATTTTTTTTTTTGTACCGGAAATTGAACTCGGGACCTTGCACTTGCCTGGCAGGCGCCTGTGCTGCTGAGCTATATCCCCGGCCCCTAGGCCCTATTATTAAAAAACAGAACAGGCCCGTGCGTGGAAGGAAAGGCTGGAAGGCAATCACCCAGGAATGCCTGCCAAGGTGAGCTGGGGGCCAGCCGCCCCAGTTCTGCACTTGGCCTCCCATGGAGAACACAGGACAGCGCTGCTGCCGCACAGCAGTGGGCAGGGAAGGAGCCCAGAACCCAAGGAGCTCACACCTGGCAGCAGACGGCCCAGATCAGAGTCTGAAAGGCCCTGCTAGCAGCAGTGACCCTGGGCTAAACTCAAGAAAAGCAGGCACCCAGCCAGACCCGATCAGTCAGGGCCCCGGTGTAGGGGGATTTAAGCCTACCAGGAAGGGAAGTGCAGATATAAAACAAAAATCAATGTAATGCTGTACGCATTACAGTCCAAAGAGAAAAATGAGCAAGACATGAGGAAATCAGTCAACACAGACGACCACAATGCAGACTCAAACAGGAACAAGACGCAGGCCCCACGCATCCACCACCAAGAAGAGTGTGACACCAACGGTGCCTGGGGAGTGCACGCTGCAGCAGGGGCGTGAGCGTGCCAAGCCTGAAAGCAGCTCAGCAGCACTGGCCAGGGCTCACGCAACAGCCTCTCTAAACAAGTGCCAGCCTGGCAAGCACAAGGCCCTGAGTTCAACTCCCGGTACCAAAACAAAACAAAAACAGAAACAACCCCTCTTAAGGAATTATCCTAAAAAATCCTAAACTGCTAGGCATAGTGGTGTACGCCCACGATCCCAGCACTCAGGAGGCTGAGGCAGGAGGATTACTACCAGTTCAAAGCCAGCCTAGGCTACTAATGAGCTCAAGGCTAACCCGAACTACATGGCGAAACCCTGGCTCAAAAAGAAAAAACAAAAAAATTCAAAGCTGGGCACAGTAATAGCAAACCCAGCATTCTGGGAGGCTGAGACAGGAGGATCACAAGTTTGAGCCCAGCCTGAGCAATTCAGCAACTTAGCAAGATCCTGACTCAAAACAAAAAAATAAAAAATGGGCTGGGATGTAGCTCAGTGCAAAGACCCTGGGTTCAATACCTAGTACTACCAAAAGAGGAAAAACTCTTACAGGAAGCACCCATAGAGGTGGAGTATCACTGCGTGTCTCCTCGGCAGCCCAGGCCAACCTCCTCTCCTCCCCCCATCCCCACCCTGCTGTCCTCAGCCAGCGCACACCGGCTGCCCTGTCTCCAGGGCCAGTTCTGTTCCACCCACATAGCTCAAAGCCCATGCACCCCAGCGACCTTCTGCAGAGATGACAGGTCAGAGAAGGCAAGAGGGGCAAAGGGCAAGTGGAATCCTGGATTTCAAAAGCAGAGCGTGCTGAGCCCTGGGAAGGTAGGAAAGATGACAAGCAAAGTAGGGAAGCCAATCCAGGTCCAAGAAAGCTGGCACAGTCTCAGGGAAAAAGTCAAAACTTCTTGCTAAATGCCTTCTAGAAGGTACGTGCAGCCCCCCGAGAAAGGCTGGTGTGCAGCTGGGCATGGAGCTGAGGGTAGAGTACTTGCCTAGCTAGCACACATTAGGTCCTGGGCTCCACCCCTGGGGGAAAAGGTGGCAGGGAGGGAGGGAAGGCTGACCCAGGTGGCTAAAGCAGCACTTGCTCCTGTACAGTGAGATTCTTACCACAGAGTGGCTAAGTACTGCTCTGGATTTAACCCCTGGATATCTGAGCAGAAATGAATGATAAAAGTGGAAAGTACATAGTTTATACAGATTTATAAAACATAGTTTACATTGGGCAGGATGGTACACAACTGTAATCCCAGCTACTCAGGAGGCTGAAGCAGGAAGACTACAAATTCAAGGTCAGGCTAGGCAACATAGCAAGCTCCTATCTCAAAATAAATATTTTATGAAGAGACAGGGATGTAGCCCAGCGGTGGAGTGGTAGAGCACTTGCCTACCATGTTTGAAGCCCTGGGCTTAATCCCCAGTACTGCAAAACACATACTACACACACACACATACACACACACACACACATTCCCTCTCTCTCTTTCTCTCTCTTTCTCTCTCTCTCTCTCTCTCAATCTTTCAGGGGCAAGCATCTTAAAAGTTGTCTCCAGGTACAATTCAGTAGAGAAACAAAGGACTAGCCTGTACACCAGGGCCAGGATGTTGAGCATGGTTGCCACATCAGGGTGGTCATGGCCAGAAGTCTTCTCCAGGTCCTCCAGGGCCTGCTTACAGAGAGGAACAGCCACTTCATAGCGCCCTTGAGAAGCATACTGGATCACCAGGTTGTGGAGGGTGCGCAGCCGCGCGGGGATCTCGTAGCCGCCCTGCTGGGCAGCGGCAGCCGCACTGCTGTGCTGCTGCTGGACTGCGGAGAGAAGGTACACTTCAGAGGGGTGGTCAGCACGGCTGTGCAGATGGCCCTGGTCCAAGCAGCCCCTCTGTCAGTTCAGTCTTTCCTAAGGACCCCTGGGTGTGCTGGGGAAGAGTAAGGGACCAGAAGGGATGGAGACCTGTCCGCAGGCAGTGGCAGAAACTTCTCTGGAGCAAGAGTGACTCTGACCTCTTCCACACCTGCAGGGATCTGCAGGCCACATCTGCACTGTACATGCCATTTACCAGGCTCCACCCTCCACACTGCTATATCCACACACACACACACACACACACACACACACACACACACACACACAAATTTCCCACTGCCTGGGAAACAAAGGTGCCCCCACTGTGCTCAGGCCCCCGTGCAGCAGGCTCTGCACCAAGGCTCCCACTAACTGTGACAAACATTAGCAACAGCCCGCAGTACTGCACTCACTTCCTTGGCCCGGCTCATCCTCGTCATTTGGGAACAGGTCGTCCAAGGGCTCCTTGGCAGAATCAGTGTCTTTGTCTTCCTAAAAGAGAGACCCAGAACATCTTCATCCTCCACCCTACACATCGTGCCTGCAAATTCTTAACATAAAACACACCTTAACTCGAAACCTTAGAATAGACTGCCAGTTTGTAAGATCAAGTTTAGGATCATCCAATGTGGCTTCTCCACCAGTTTATTTGTTTTTGTTTGTTTGTTTGTTTTGTTTTTCTCCGGTACCGGGAACCGAACTCACGACCTTGCGCTTGCCAGGCAGGCGCTTTGCCGCTGAGCTAAATCCCCAGCCCCTCATTATTCTTTATTAAACTGGTGGAGGGGCTGGGGATTTAGCTCAGCGGGCAAAGCGCCTGCCTGGCAAGTGCAAGGTCGTGAGTTCGGTTCCCGGTACCGGAGAAAAACAAAAAAAAAAAAAGAGTAATGAAACCCTCACTAGATGAGAATCCACAATACATAAACGCAGAACACAGACCACAAGTGTATCTCTACATTGTGCTTCTCCACCTGTGTTCTAAGGCTCCCACTAACTGTGACAGAGAGGCACAGCCACTTCATAGCGCCCTTGCGAAGCATACTGGATCACCAGGTTGTGGAGTGTTCTAAGGCTCAAGCTCAGCAGGGGAAGCCTTCCTTGAAGTGAAATCTTTCGGTGCACCTCTGATCACCATGGAAATGGAGGGCTGGGCACCCTGCCACAACACTCTCCACTGTAGGAGCCCTAGGAGCAGCCAGAACCCCAAGAGCACCATCACACTGTAATTCATGCCTCCCCACAGACTGCTGCTTGGTACAAGAGGTGAGAACAGGGATAACACAGGGCAGGAGACAAACAGCTCAACCAGCTAAGACATCAGCATGGTTGAGGGACACACAGACACTCTCTGCCTCTATAGGGGACAATATGTAAGTGTACGGTTTTTTTTTCCCCCAGTACTGGGTAGTGAACCCAGGGCCTTCTCACTGGGCTACATCCTCAATCTTTTTTTTTTTTTTTAATTTTGGTACCAGGAATCGAACTCAGGACCTTGTGCTTGCCAGGCAGGCGCTGTGCCACTGAGCTATGTCCCCAGCTTATTTTTTATTTTGACACATGGTCTCACCAAGTCACCTAGGCTGGCCTCAAATTTGCAATCCTCCTGCGTCAGCCCCAGAACACTGGGACTACAGGTGTGTACCACCAGGCCCACGTACACATCACTTTAGAACATTCCCTCCAGAGCACACAGTCTGAACATTAGACAAACCCAAACTGAGGAATGACAGCTACAGTAACCAGCCTGTGTTCATCAAAGACACCAATGTCACAGAACACTGAAGAGACAGGGCAGCTGGGTGCAATATGCAATCTGAACTGGATCTCCAGAGAGTAAAGAAAAGCTGTGAAGGACATTGCTGAGACAATTAACAAAACGAGGATCTAGATTGTGGTGGTGGGAGTATGCCATGCCCTGTTAAATTCCCTGTGTCTGCGCCAGGCTGGGCTTCCATGGAGAACCCCCTCCTGGGAGCCAGGCCTGGCAGAGGAAGGGGAGAGGCACTGCCCATGCCTCCTGCTCAGAGCCCGGGGAAAGGAAACAAGACTCAGAAGGAGGCAGAGTTAGCCTCAAGGCCTGAGGCTCTCTCAAAGTCAGACAGATATTTCACAATAAAAAGCTCAGCCACACATGGTAGCACATGCCTGTAATCCTAGCACTCCCAGAGGCTGAGAGAGGAGAACTGCACATTTGAATCAGACTGTGCAATTTATAACTTAGGAAGACCCAGCCTCAAAAAAAAACAAAGGCAGAGGGGAGCAACTAATGGAGATGTAGCTCAGTGGGAAAGCCTTGAGTCCCAATTTCCAGTACTGGAAAATAAATAAATGCAAGAAAAAGACAAGTAAGTACTTGAAGGGGCTCTGATTTTGTGAAGACAGCGCTCCTGTCCAGTGGCACCAACATGTCCAAATGCTCTTAGCCCACAGTGACCTAAGTCAAAACATCAGGGCCACCTGACATGGAGGCCACGTGAGGCAGCCACAGGGGAGCCTAATCGCTCGGTGCTATCACCTGACTGGACCCCAAGGAAATACGTGGCTCAGACCGGGCTCCACAGGACAGTAAGCCATCTGGAGACAGAGCTTCAGGAGGGGATCGGGGTTAGAAACATCAGAGGGTGGAGCCTCACGATGGTCTTCAGGTCCTCACAACAACACAGAGGGCTCACTCCCCACCATGTGAGGGCACAGCACGAGGTGGCCACCCGAAGCCAGCAGAGCGCACTCACAGAACCAACCCCGCCGGTCCCTCATCCAGCGCTCAAGCTCCAGAACTGAGAGGAAACAAGGGGGCCGAGGCACTCGCCACCGGGCGGCAGTGCAGGGTGGTGGTGCCGCACGGGGCTTCCGAGCAGACGTAGAGGGGACTGCGCTGGCCCACGGACTGCATCTGTGCACACGCCTGACCCTAGGAGGCAGAACAGTCAGCCTGAACCCGACTGTGGGACCCTGGACCAGAGCCTAGGACAGAGGTGGCCACTGCTGGAAGGACTGGCAAAGTCCCAATGAAGTCCGCTTCAACCAACGGTAATGCAGCAATGCTAATGTCTTAATTCCAAGAAACATTCCATGGTTATGTCAGATGTTACTATGAGGGAAAACAGGGCGAAGGGTATATGGGAAGCGTCTTCACTTCTGTTTCGCTTTTCTATCAATCTAAAATTATTCCAGCCGGGTGTGATGGTGCACGCCTGCAATCTCAGCACTCGGGAGGCTGAGGCAGGAGGACTGTTGTGAGTTCAAGGCCAGCCTGGGCTACAAAGTGAGCTCACAGACGGCCTGAACTGCACAGTGAGACACTGCCTCAAAAAGACCAAAAAGGCCAGGTGTGGTGGCACATGCCTGCAATCTCAGCACTCGGGAGACTAAGGCAGCAGGATCGCTGCGAGTTCAAGACCAGCATGGGCTACAAAGTGAGCTCAAGGCCAGCCTGAACTGCGTAAGGAGACCCTGTCTCAAAAAAGAAAAAAAAGAAAAAAAAAAATTTATTCCAAATGAATGAATAAAAATTGTTCCAAAATTATGAAAAGTTTATTTAAAAAAGAAGCTAACAGTGGTGCCACACGCCTGTAACCCCAGCACTCGGGTTGTGGGCAGGAAGGCTGAAAATCTGAATGTGCCTAGGCAACTTAGCAAGACCCTGTCGCAAGAGAAAAATAAAACAAAGCCCCAGTACGAGAGAATCAGCAAGAGAGAGCCAGACAGCGAGACAGCAAGAGAATCAGGGTGGAAGGGAGAGAGGGAGGGAGGATGGGAGGGAGGGAGGATGGGAGGGAGAGAGGGAGAGAGGGAAAGAGGGAGGACAGGAGGGAGGGAAGAAGGGTGGGAGGAAGGCAAGCAAGCTAATGGAATTAAAAAATAAATGGTGGATGAAAACAATTGAGATAAGGATGAACAACCCAAAAAACCTAACAGAAAAAGAAAAAAACCAAAAAAAAAAGAGATGTCTTTTTGGGGCTGGGGATTTAGCTCAGCGGCAAAGTGCCTGCCTGGCAAGCACAAGGTCGCGAGTTCGGTTCCCGGTACCGGAGAAAAACCAAAAAAAAAAAAAGAAAAAGAAAAACCAAGACCCCGTCAGACCCCCAACACACCAGCAGCAGAAAGGTAAGCCAGCAAGGGAAGCTAAGGAGGCACATGAGAGACAAAGGAGAACCTGATGCTCCCTGAGGACAACAGAGTATAGCACAAGATGTGGAGCCCATGGGTGCCAGGAGCTGCAGCAGGTGACCAGGCCAGGGACGCAGCAGTGGCCAGCAGGGCGGCCACTCTGCACAGTAGGGAAGGGGAGGGCACTCGAGGGACAGCCCCTGCTTTCACAAAGCTCCTTCCCACATTCTGACCACTGCCCTAGGACATAGGAGAGCACACGGCACAGAGAACTGCCGGGCCCTGCCCCGGCCTCCACTCCACTGCCCACGCTGACCGGCCGGCCACAGGGCAGTGCAGGCAGCTCCGCAGGCGCAGCAAGAACTCACCGAGGGGGAGATGTCATCGTCGTATTTCTTCAGCTGGTTCATGAACTCCAAGTGTTTCTTCTCCTCCTCCAGCTGTGCCACTGACTGCTCGCTCTTCTGTAACTTTTGCTGTGTGTTGGCCAGCTCATCCCGCAGCCACTGATTCTCCTGGCACAGACGACGAACCTGCGCACGCAGTTTCTGCTTCTCCGACTCCACGGCATTCAAGTGATTTGACAAAGCCATCATCACCTGGAGAGACAGACATTTAAATGTAAATGCCACCCAGCAAGGGGCTCACAGCTCCAGCGCCCATGCACACACGGACATCTTCCCCGTGGCGTGCATGCGGACAACCAGCCATCTACCCCGCCATCACCCCCCGCCAGGGCTACTCTCACTCAGGACATCCACGAAAACGACCTCTGCACGTGAGGGCAGCACAAGGCCAAGCAGTGAACTAGTCCACTCTTTTGACATTCTACCTAACTTCCCACACGGCCTTTGCATGGAGGTACATGTGCACACACGTGTCGCCAAAGGCAGGCAGGCAGGGGCAGTGGCAACATGGGAAGCGCAGGCACGCCACCTCCCACCGCAGGAAGGGAAGGAAGAAGGCCCTGTGGCTACCACAAAGCCCAGAAGGCACCAGCCGCAGCTTGTGGCCCTGTCATGGGGCACACCGGAGGACAGTGAGGGCTGTGAGGGTGGAAGGTGAGGAAGCCACCCAGCTGCATCCCTTCCGTTGTGGATCCGTGCTCCCCTCTCAGGACACAGGGACTCTTCCCACCGCCACGTGCCAAACCGAAGCTCCGGACTGGGGGGTTTTGCTTCCATATCTTATAAAACTCATCATCTGTCAAGCCGAAAACGGAAGCCCAGCTTCATATCACCTGTCAACAACAAAGCTTGGGGAGCAGTAGGCTCATAATATCCAAGCAGTGCTAAGGGTCTACAACCACCACCTGGATACCTGGATGGGCTGGGATGAAGAGCCCTGAGAGGGGATCCAGGTGCTCCCTTCCTCTACAAAGGCAAACCGGTGAAGCAGCTCTTTCTTTACCTCATCCACTCACTGCATGAGCAGGAAACAAGAAGCCAAGTCTCTGTGGACTGAATTTGACCTAAGATTTATTCAGGGGAGCAAGACCCAGACATTTCCACTGTTCTCTCTACATCAAACACGACAGAAACATAAAACAATCTGGCCCTGGGGACTGTGGTGCCGCCCCTGTCACCCCATATCCCCCAAGCCACTTCCTCAGGCAAAGGTGCTACACAGAAGGCGGCAGCACAGCCAGGGGGCAGGAAAGAGCTCTCCTGGAAGTGAAATTCTAGGCAGGGGGCCAGGGATACAGCTCAGCGGCACAAGCACCTGCCTGGCAAGCATAAGGTCCTGAATTCGATTCCCAGTACAAAAGAAAAGAGAAGAGAAACCCTAGGCAGCAACTCCTCTTCCCCATCCCAGCACATAGTCCCGTGGCTGCCGCAGGGGCTCCCTCCTGGACCAAGACACTCCCAGTATGCAGTGCAGAGGGGCAAGAGCCTGAAAGCCCTGACGACCTGGCAGGCCCAAAGCCAGCACAGCCTCCCTTGGAACTCATGGGGGCGGTAGGGCAAATTCAACCCTAAATGATACACAGCATACCTCTATTGAAAATTTAGGCTGGGGGCACTGGCACAACCCTGTAATCCCAACTATTCAGGAAGCTAAGGCACAAATTCAAGCCCAGCTTGGTCAATTTAGCAAGACCCTTGAAATAACATTTTGTTTTAAAATTTTAAATCAGTAAAATTAATTAATTAAAAAATCTGGAAAAAAAAAATCTGGTCATGTAGCTCAATCCAAAATCTCTGGGTTCAGTCCCACAAGAAGAATAATAAATTATGGCAGGCGTGGTGGCACACACCTGTAATCCTAGCAGTCAGGGGGCTGAGGCAGGAGGATCACCATGTGTTTGAGGTCAGCCTGGGCAACACAGTGAGCTCAAGGCTAGCCTAAACTGCACAGTGAGACCCTGTCTCAACCAAAAGCGATGAAGTAAATAAACAGTAGCCACTTAGCAGCTGACACGCCCCCAGGTGAGGGCTGCTCCCCTCCGCTCAGGCACACACTCCTCTCACGCACCTGTGCCTCACTCAGGCCGAGCTCCAGCATCTCCAGGGACTTCCGGATCATGTTGGACTTCTCCTCCACCAGGTTGCTCTCGTCATCCTTCTTCAAGCACTTCAGCGTCTCCAGCAAACTCTGTAGGATGGAGTTGTGCTCATTCTTCAGAGCCTCCAGCCCCTGGATTACCTGCTTTGTCTTGGAAATGATTTCATCCTGTGTGAGTTTCTCCAACTTGTCTTCCTTTATGTACACCATGGTGGACATGTTGTCATACATTCTAGAACACAAAAAGAAAAGAATCAGACATCTTTCAGGCTTCATTTCTGTCACATCCTCAGACAGCCAACATTTGTAAACACTTTTAAATTACATTTTATACGTGAATAATACATAGAATTATAATTTGCGATCTTAAATATTAAATTCTGTACTGTTTCTGTTTTTCCTTTGCACACTCATTGAATCATATTTCTGGTTTATGTCTGAATTCTTTTTAATAAAAGTAACTAAAACTAATGCCAAAGATTAAGAGCAGCATAACATCCAAATGGCACTCCCAAAATACACAACCTCAGGGAACATTCTCTTAATGTTTGCAAGCTTTATTTACTCAGTGAAATGCAAAAAGAACACTAAATCTGTGATGGCTTTAACCTTAATTGTGCTGACCTGGCTGGCCTGAAATCCCACAGGGTTAATAAAGCACACTCATGAGTGTGTCGGGGCGGGTCATGGAGGTGTGACCTGGGGGACTACACATGGTCCCTGGCCCCTTTCACTATGGCACTGTTCCCCTGCTCTGCTTCCCAGGTGCCATGAACTAAACATCTTTGTTACACCACACCCTTCCGCCATGTTTCTGCCTTGGATCCAACCAACTGTGGACTGAATCCCCTGACACCATAAGCCAAAGCAAACCTCTTCCTTAACTTGAGGATGATGGGTATTGTGTTCCAGCAATGAGAAAGCTAATACACAATTCTCAGTAACATATTTAAGCAGACAAAGCCTTGGGAAGTGGTCATGCAGCTGAAAGAAGGAAAAAAAAAATCCAGAGGAGACATACAACAACAGTAAAAGGAGAGAGCCAGACCTGTAAGACACAGGCTGAGCTACTCAGTAACAGTGCACAGACAAAGACCCAAGAAGACATAGCCAATGGGTACAACAGGTATTCGCTTTCCCAGCTGAAAATCATCAAAGGTAGGACTTACATGAAAAAAAAATTTTTAAAGGTAGACTTACCAATAGAGGAAGCCTAAATAAAAAGTCCACTTAAGTTATTTAAAGAAATCAGAGATTGAGGTGTAACTCAGTATAGCACTATAACATTTGCCTAGCTATGTATTAGACCTTGGGGTCCGTTCCCATCACTACACACATGCACGCACGTGCATGCGCACACACACAATACAGAGAAATCAATCTGAAATCCTTAAGAAACATACAACAGTACTGGTTGACGACAATCAGACATCCTTGTTAAAACTCTAAGGATCAACAAAAACACACAATACATCTCAACAAATGAAAGGAAAAAAGAACAGCCCCTTAAGGTACTTTTGTTGCTTACTCTTAAAAAAATTTGTGAAGTCAGGCATGGTGCACCTGTGATCCTGTTAATCAAGAAACTGAGGAAGGAAGATGATTTGAGTTTAAAGTCAGGAGTTTAAGGCCAGTCTAGATAACCTAGTGGGCCCTCATCGCAAAAAAACAACAAAAAAAAAGAGAAAGGTAATACTCCTACCCTCACTATATACTAAATTCCAGACTGATTAAAAGAGTAAACGTGGGGGTGTGTTTGTTTGTGGTGCTCAAGATGGAACCCTGGTCCTCAAACACACTAGCAGGCTACAGTCTACCACTGACCTACATCCCCAGGCCTGAAAGTATTTTTAAAAAAAGAAGAACTCACAAGAAACAGGCAAAAGTTTATATGTGAATAAAAGCAATAGCAGAACACTGTAAAAAAAAAAAAAAAAAAATGACTAGAATGAACTTAAAAATAAGAAATTTATCATGTTTGGTGCAGAAAGTGAACACATTTCTTAGTGAAAGACTTTTTTTTGCAGCCCATCACAGTGAAGAATTCAAAAGCACACAAACTCTGATCTCAAAGGTTAAAGGGCAAGTAATTTCTGAGAAGTAAAATTTACTGTGAGTCTAAGTCAACTCACACATCCTACTTTGTCAGCCTAAGAGCTACACTGTCCCCACTCTTTTCCAGCTCTTACAGTGTGCAGAGCCCCAGATGCCTTGGTGGAACAAGGAATTCGCCAGAACTATGCCAAGAGATTGCTCAGCAAACAGCTTCATCTTCATCTTCCATTTCTCTGCCACACTACGACTAGCCGTTTCGCCAAGGCGCTCGGGTTCATTTTACAGGAGAATGATGTCAGCATCTAAAATTGGACTCAGAGCCAGGCATGGTGACACATGCCTGAATCTCAGCACTCAGGAGGCTGAGGCAGGAGGATTGCTCTGAGTTCAAGGCCAGCCTGGGCTACAAAATGAGTTGAAGACCAGCCTGAACTACATAGTGAGACCCTACCTCAAAAGGACAAAAAAAAACTGGACTCAGTCTTCCGGCCCCCCAAACCTGTAACACTGGCCTAGCCATGAGGAAACAGCAGACAACCGGCCATGGTGGCGCACACCTATAATCCCAGCACTCGGGAGGCTGAGGCAGGAGGATCTCTGCGAGTTCAAGAGTAGCCTGGACTACAAAGTGAGCTCAAGGCCAGCCTGAACTGCATAGCAAAACCCTGTCTCAAAAAGACAAAAAACTTTGAAGATATCAATATGTAATACAACAAGCATTGTTAATTCCCTACCACTTTGTTTGTAACTCCGTACTGTCTATACTGTTCCTTTGCTATTTTGTAAAACGTTGTCTGTCTGTTAATATTTTCCTCCTTTTATTTTTAAAATTAAAAAAAAAAAAAACAGCAGACAGACCCATACTGAAGGACACACTACAGAAGTCCTGACCAACACTTCTCAAAACTGTCACAGTCACTGTAATGACTAAATGTGTAATCCTCCTAAACAGTTGGAATGTTGAGGGGAGAGGGGTATTTTTGAGAAAGGATCTCACTATGGAACCCAGGCTGGCCTTGAACTTGCAATCTTCCTGCCTCAGCCTCCCAAGTGCTAGGATTATAGGTGTGCAATACCATGCCCTGTCTCTACGTGGGATCTTAATGTCCCCCAAAGACCATGTGTTAGAGGATTCCATCAAGCTTGGCACTAGGAGGTGGTGGTGGAAACCTCAAGAGGTGGGGCCTAGGAGAAGGCTACAACCACTGACAGGCCTGGCCGCCCACTCCGCTCTCACCCTGCCCATGCAGTGAAAAGTTCACTTCACTTTGTACTGCCCACGCCGTGCATTCCCTGCCACAGGCTCGCACGTGGGACCGTCAGACCATGGACCAAAACCTCAATAGTGCAAGCCAGAGGCACGTTTCTGTTTCTGAGTATCTTAGTTCCTTCTCAGAGTGAAAGCTAACTGACACATCTGTCAAATTCTTGTTTTTGTTTTTGTTTTGGTGCCAGCAATCGAACTCAGGACCTTGAGCTTGCTAGGTAGGCACTGTGCCACCCTATATCTCCTGCTCCACATCCCCCAAATTCACATGTTCAAATTCCAACCCAAAGCCAGGCATGGTGGCTCATGCCTATAATTCCAGCACTCCAGAGGCTGAGGCAGGAGGATCAGGCAGGAGGATGGTTTTGAGTTTGAAGCCAGCCTGCTACACAATGAGTTTAAGGCCAACCTGAGCTACAAAGCGAGACCTTGTCTAAAAACAAAACAGAACAAAACAAATATATAAATAAATCAAAATTTAAAAGTGTACCTACACACAAAGAACACCAAAAAAAGTGCCACTTGCTATAAACAAAACAGAAAAGTATACACAGAATACAATACTAGGAATTCAGGGGTCTAGGAGTTTAGCTCAGTGGTGGAGCCTGTGAGCACGTGCCAGGCCCTGGGTCAACCCCTGCACAACTGAAAAAGAGATAGAAAGGGTAAGGGAGGCGGAGTGAGAGGGGGAGGGAGGGAGAAAGAGAGAGGGAGACAGAGGGAGACAGAGAAGGAATTCATTATTTTTGGCAATTTAGTTTTTAGATCATTTTCACAAATACACTGCTTTATTGAGATGACAATAAGGTTTCTAGATAGTTTAGTCAACAATCTTTAAAAAAAAATTGTTACAATTTTCACTTACAGTGCAGAAGCAGAGACAGACGAATTCACATACGCTTACTACCCAGATAGAAACCGAGTCCAAGCTCCCTAACCAAGTGTCCCACCACTTCAGGAACTACACTGGGCTGTGTAAATGCACGCATGCAAACACACACACAATGATCCTGACAGCTCACCAACAGGGAAAAAGCAGTAATAAAACGCTTTTCACCAACCCTCAAATACAGAAAGGAGTTGACACTCTGGCCACACTAAAAATAGGCCAACCTAATACTGAGCCAAAAATAGAACCACTGAGTACACTGAATTTTTTGTTTGGTTTTGCGTTCTGCAATGAGGGCTCATCATGTCGCACAGGCTGACCTCAAACCCTGGGCTCAAGCAACCCTCTGGCCTTAGTCACTTGGATACCTGGGTCATGGGCGTGCACCACTACCCCCCACCACTGAATTTTTATTAGGCACATAATCAAACCAAAATTGTTTGGACTCTAAAAACTGGGATCTAAAGATTAGAATCTTCAAAGATGCCTCCTGCCCTGGGCAGTGGTGAGCATCTGTAATTCCAGCTACTCTGGAAATTAAGGCAAGAGGATCACAAGTTCAAGACCAGCCTGGAAAACTTAACAAGACTCAAGGGCCAGAGACCTAGCTCAGTGCTCCTGGGGTTCAATCTCCAGTATCTCAAAAAAAAATTAAATATAAAACAAAATTAAAACCTAGGAATTAACCAAGGAAGTAAAAGACCTGTACAATGAGAATTACATCACTCTGAAAAAGGAGATCAGGGAGGATGTCAGAAAATGGAAGTTGTCCCATGCTTTTGGATAGGCAGAATCAACATAGTCAAGATCGCCATACTTCCAAAACTGACATACATTTAATGCAAATCCCAATCAAAATTTAAACAGCATTCCTCACAGACCTAAAGAAAACAACCCTAAAATTTATATGGAGCTGGGTGTGATAGGGCACATCTGTAATCCCAGCACTCAGAAGCCTCAGGCAGGAGGACTGCTATGAGTTCCAGGCCAGCCTGTACTATATAGCAAAATCCTGTCTCAAAAAGGAGAAAAAAAAAAAAAAAGCCGGGCGTGGTGGCTCACGCCTGTAATCCCAGCACTCAGGAGCTGAGGGAGGAGGATCGTTGAGAGTTCAAGGCCAGCCTAGGCTATGAAGTGAGCTCAAGGCCAGCCTGAACTGCATAGCATAGGTGGCACACTCCTGTAATACCCTGTCTCAAAAAGACAAAAAAAAAAAAAGGGACAGAAGAGCAAAACAATCCTAGGTAACAAAAGCAAAGCAGGAGGCATCAAAATCCCAGATCTGAAGTTATATTACAAAGCTACAGTGATAAAAACAGCATGGTTCTGTCACAGAAACAGACATGTAACTCAGTGGAACAGAACAAAGGAAGCAGAAACAACCCTAGGCACACTCAACTGTTTGACCCTTGACAAAGGGCAACAAAAATATGCACTAAAGAAAAGGCAGCCTCTTCAGTAAATAGTGCTGGAAAACTGGATCTCCACATGCAGAAGACTGAGCCTAGACCCATATACTGCACTGTGTACTAAACTAAAACCAAAATAGATCAAAGATCTAAATGTTAAAACAGAAACATTCTGCTGGAAGATAAAACAGGTAAAACTCCTGAAGTCATAGGCAAGGACTTTCTGGCACAAGAAATAATACTGAGAATCAATAATGTGATGTGGGATCACATCAAAGTAAAAAGCTTCTGCACAGCTAAAGAAACAACCAATAGAATGAACAGACAACCCACAGAATGGGAGAAAAATTTTGCCAGCTATTTCTCAGAGGACTAACATCTAGAATACATAAAGAATTCAAAAAAATTAGACCCCTGAAATAAAAGACCTAATCAAAAAATGGGACAAAAATGAAGACACTTCTCAGAAATACAAATGGACAATAAATATAAAAAAATGTTCAAGACTGCCAGCCATTAGAAAAATGCAAATTAAAACAACACTGAGATATCATCTTACTCTAGAAAGAATGCCCATCATCAAGAAATAAAAGTACAACAACAAAGGCTGGCAAGGCTGGGGGTAGGTGAAAGTGTAAACTATTATAACCACTAGAGAAACCAGTATGAAGATTCCTCAAAAATTAAAAATAGAGCTGAGTGTGGTAGCGCACTCCTGTAATCCCAGCACTCTGGAGGCTGAGGCAGGAAGATCACTGCAAGTTCAAGACCAGCCTGGGGTACAAAGTGAGCTCAAGGCCAGCCTGAACTGCATAGCGAGACCTTATCTCTAAAAGACAAAAAAAAAAATTTAAATAGAAATCCCAATTGCCCCTTTTAGGCATTTTTCCAGAAGAGTTAAAGTCATATGATAGTGATGCATGCACATCTATGTTTAGCAGCACAATTTATCATAGGTCAATCTTGGAAATGGCCTGTATGTCCACCAACAGATGAATGGATAGAGAAAAGGTGATGTTTATACACAATGGAGCAATGCACTGCTACAAAGATAGATAAATTCAAGGTATTCAGAGGTAAACGAGAGGCACCTCAAGACCATAATATTAGTGAAATAGGTAAGGCACGTAAGTTGAAATACTGCATAGTTTCCCTTATATGACAAACCCAAAACATAATAAAAAACAAAATAGCCGGGCATGGTGGCACATACCTGTAATCCCAGCACTCGGGAGGCTGAGGCAGAAGGATCACTGCACGGTTGAGACCAGCCTGGGCTACAAGGTGAGCTCAAGGCCAGCCTGAACTGCACAGTGAGACCCTGTCTCAAAAAGACCAAAACAAAAGAACAAAATAAAAGATAGATAATAGGAAGTAGAGAGATCTTTTTCAAACGGGAAAGGGAAAAAGATGGAGTGCAGAGGAATAGAAGGAAAGAAGATGAGAAAAAGTACAAAAAAGGAAATACAGCTTTTGCAAATGGAAAGGGCACCAAAAGTTGGGAAAGCAGGGAGGGATGAGAGGGGTGGATGAAAAACAAATTAAGATGTGCTAAGTACATGTACCAGTCCCCACAGTAAATGTGATCATTACACACTGCAAATATGTACTAATGAAAAAAGAATCAGTGTAAAAGCCAGGCACGGTGGCACATCTACAATCCTAGCACTTAGAGGCGGCTGAGGCAGGAGGATCACTGAGAGTTTGGGGCCCTCCTGGGCTACACAGTGAGTTCAATGCCAGTCTGAACTACATAGCGAGAGCCTGTCTCAAAATAAATACACACATACATACGTACGTACGTACACCAGAAGCACTGTAAGGCTACGAGTCTTGCTAAATGGTTGAGCTCTTACTTAGCATGTTTGAGGACCTGGGTTTCACCCCACAGCTAAAGAGACAGAGACAGAGAGGGCGTGCCTGTATCCTGGGCACAAGGTTCATCTCCACAGCTTCCCAAAGGAGCCCTTATAAGAGCTGAAAGTACTGACTCATTTCTACCCGTCACAGAGAACCTTCGGTTTAATCTCCTCCTCTAATCTAACCTAACCTAATGCTTTTATTTCCTCTGCCAAACTTGAATGATGAAGATGAACTGAACAGAGCAATCTCTGCTGGCCAAAAAACCCTCAAAAAGTCAAATGTTGCACATATTTGCATGTAACAGCAGGTATTCGGAATGTGTTTCCCTAGTAAACATCACACACTACTGGACAGAACAGAAGTATTTGTTTGCCTTCAGGATTCTGTTGTAGGCAGGCTTTCAAAACCAGGGCGAAGGGGCCGGGCATATAGCTCAGCAGCACAACAGCCTGCTAGCAAGCACAAGATCCTCAGTTCAATTCCTGGCACCAAAAAACAAAAAACAAAACAAAACAAAAAAAACATGAGGCCAGACTCCCTCCCTCAAGTGGGACTGTCTGGAAACTGGCCATCACTCCTGCCCCAGCTCTGTGATCACCTACCCTCCCCACCTGCCTCTATTTTTTTTTTTCCCCCGGTCTTTTTGCGACAGGGTCTCACTACGCAGTTCAGGCTGGCCTTGAACTCACTTTGTAGCCCAGGCTGGTCTCGAACTCACAGTGATCCTCCTGCCTCAGCCTCCCGAGTGCTGGGATTATAGGCATGCGCCACCACGCCCAGCTCCCACCTGCCTCTAGATGTGCCAATCTCCCCTCAGAGCACTCAGCGTGCTCCTAGAAATCCAAAGAGAACTGTCTAGAACCACAGCTGCACCTGACAAAAGAGACTTACCAGAAGCCTGCTTTCATGACCAGCTATCAGCTGCTTTCCCTACCCGGCAGAGGGCCCAGGACTGCCTCAGGAACACTGGCCCTCTCCTCAGAGGCAACTTCAGGGACAAGACACACAAGGAAGAGGACTAGGTAAAAATGCAGGCGAACATGCTTTTTCCTAAAGTAAGAGTGAGTCAGCGCTAAGGACGCAAACATCTCTATCACAACAGTCTCCTCGGTGAGCAAGGAGAAAGGAATGGGCAACAGGGTCTGACTGCATGACCAGAAGCAGAGAGGCCACTGCAGAACTTGGACCAGGAGAGTTCCTGGTTAGGTGCAGAAAAGGCCAACAGATTAACCCCAAGCCTAACTTTATGTGTGGAAGTGTTAATCAATGAAATAATTTTCTTTCCTGATAAAGAAAGACGATTACACAAAACATTTTTAAAAATCAGTTCTCGGGCTGGGGATTTAGCTCAGCAGCACAGTGCCTGCCTGGCAAGCATGAGGTTGTGAGTTCAATTCCCAGGACCGGAAAAAAATAAAAATTAAAAAAAATCAGTTCTCTGAGCAACTACTCTGAAGATAATATGCAATTAACCATTGTTACTCTGTTATCTAGTTTTGAAAGTTTGTTTCATTGTTTTTATTGTTTTTTCCTCCTTAAAATAAAAAAATAAAAGTAAAAATCAGTTCTCTCAGGGCAGAACTGTGATGCTCTTTGCCCTCTATACCTAAAGCCTCCCTCAAGAGTATACACTCAAGCCAGGCGTGGTGGCGCATGCTTGTAATCCCAGCACTCAGGAGGCTGAGGCAGGAGAATCTTGCAAGTTTGAGGCCAGCCTGGGCTACAGTGTGAGCTCAAGGCCACCCTGAACTGCATAGCGAAACCCTGTCTCAAAAATAAGAGAAAATAAATAAAAATAAATAAATAAACTGCTGACTTATTGAAAGGCACATCCAAAAAAAGCAAAAAGTTGAGCGACAGGTTGGGAAAAAAAATACTTGCAACACACACAGCTAGCAAAGGACTTGCCTCCAAGATATGTATATAAAAAAAAAAAATCCTCCTACACTCAATAATAAAAAGAAAACCCAATTCTTTTCTTATTTTACACTCTTACTTTATAAGACATTTATTTTGTTTCATCTTATTATGGTGCTTTTGCCTTGTTTTGGGCAAAACCCAGAGCCTCACAAACACCAGGCAGGCACGCCATCACTGCACCACAAGGCCTGCCCTCCAGATTCATGGTGGCTCTTGAGTCCGAGCCTGAAAGGTTCGCGGTGGGTCATCACAGCTGCCGAGGGCCTGGTGCTGCATCATGTTCACATGCAGATGGCATCAAGGGGTGAACCTAAAAGCTTTAAGTGGGCAAAAGCCTTGAACAGAGAGATACCTCCCAAAAGCTGGTACACAACAGGCCAGCAAGCACGTAAGTGCTCACCACACATCCACAGGGTGGCTAAGACAACCAAAACAACATAGGCTGCAGAGGATGTGGAGCCTCCAGAACACACACAGCTGGAGGGCACACAAAACGCACAACCACTCTGGCAAACTGACAGCTCCTTTAATCATCTCTTCCTCTGAGCAACTCCGCTTGTGGTATGGACCCAGAGAAATGAACAGGGATGGTCAGCCTTGCCGAGTAGGAGCAGCCCTGGGTGCAGATTCACACAGAACAGTACTGGGAGGAGAAATGCCGCGGATGCACACACCAACGTGAGTGCATTTCAAGCAGGGTTCTAGACAAAAAAAGCTAGATGGAAAAATACATGGTATGTAATCTTATTTATATGAAACTCCAGAGGAGGAAAACTAACCTCTGGTTAGACCAACAACTGACAAGATGGACAAAGGTACTCTCTAGGCTGTATCTTTTCTTCTTCTTCTTTCTTTTTCTGGTGCCAAGAATAGAACTCGGGGCCTTGCACTTGCCAGGAAAGTGCTACATCACTGAGCTATACCCCCAACCTACTGGCCTATATCTTGATATAACTCAAACTCACCAAATGACATACAGTGGTGCCTCAGTTCACAAACACTTTTGTTTGCAAATAATTTGTTCACAAACAGAAGCATTTGGCAAAATTTTGTTTTTGTTTGCAAACCCTGCATCAGGTGATGAATAGAACCACGGCCATCTTCCCCACATGAACATGAACGTGGCCATCTTTTCCAGAATCATGGAACAAATTAAGTTCGTGAACCAAGATACTTCAAATCTTAGCATTTTAAATTTTAGAAAACATTTTCTGTATGTTCAGAACTGTCACCCTGAAGTTAACTGAAAAATGCTTACAAATGGCTTTGAGAACACAACAAAAGGGTGAGGTAGGCAGATAAGATGCCCTTTCTCCCCCAAGATTCCTGGTGTAGATAGCTCTTCCCCCAATTGCTCCAGATGGGAAACTGCTGGAAGCGAACTTTACAGAAGTAATGAAGGCCCCAAGTCAGTGGACGTCAGGGCAGGGAGTTTATGCAGATGGACCTGACCGAATCACAGGCACCCTCTAAATGTGGGTCTGGACAGTGGTGGCACACACCTATGATCCTAGCACTCTAAGGAGGAACAAAAGTTCAAGCCCAGGCCAGGAAAAAGCGACTTAGCAAGAGACCCTGTCTCAAAAAAAAAAAAGAACTCACCTCCCAGAGGTATCTTGCCCTCACTAGGAGGATGGAGGTGCCACAGCTCTTACTTTACCTAGGATAGTGCTGGCCTGCATCACTGTTATCCGACGTGTGGGAACAGAGGCTGGACACCAATGTCCAGGTTACACAGTAGGAGGAAGTAACAATCCACGGTTGAAGTTGAGGTGAGATTAGGACTAAGGAAATAACCTCTACCTTGCCTATGCACAGAACTCAGCCTAAATTGTTTGTTCCATGGATTTTCACATATTCACTTTATTGTTTTAAGTGTGAATAGCATACCACGAACATTCAAAAAGCAGATTCATACTGTTTCATCTGTCTCCAAACATTAGTTACAACTATAACCAGGAATAGTTGCCCACAACTGGAGGCTGAGGCAGGAGGACTGAGAGTTCAAGACCAACTTGGGCAATTCAGTGAAACCTTATCTCAATTTTTTTAAGAAGTGGGGGAGGGACCTGTGGATTTAACTCAGTGCAAAGGCCCTGGTTCAACCCCTAGTACTGCAAAAATTAATTAAATTAAGTTAAATGTTCCAGGGATAACTGCTTAGTAGTAGAGTTCTCATGAGTTCAATCCCCAGTATTAAAGAAAAAAAAAATCACAATTCATTTTTAATCCAGGATTAACTTACTAGGAGGCTGCAAGGTAGAATGACACACATCCTGAGAGAAGAAAAGCAGACCATCTGTGACAGCTCCTCCCTTTGGAAAAAACTTCACAGATCCTTGGTAGCCTCCTGCGGACCAAATCCAATGGAGATTCCAATCCAGCTCCTTTTCACCTCTCAGCCATTTGGACAGTGACTTCTTCTGTCCTGAGTCCCAGGACCCTCTCCTCACAGGGCCACATCAGCCCATACCAGATGGCCACATGGACACCTCCACTGGCCCTGGACACGGTGAGGCCTTACCTGCAGCTTCACTCAACACCTATGGGTCTAGAGGTGTGCTCGGAATTGAACTGAACCATACCCTCAACCCTTTATTTTCTTCTTGCTAAGTCTCTAAATTGCCCAGGGTGGGTTCAAACTTCCCATCCCCATGCCTCAGCCTCCCGGGTGCTGGGATTAAAGGTCTGTGCCACCATGCCTGGCTTCAACCCTTATCTCAACTCCAGTCCTGCATCTCTGGCTCTCCACTGGTCCCTACAAGCACCTCCAATTTATTATATCCAAAAGCAAACACCATTTGTCCTCCTCCCATTCTCCCTCCCTTGTTGGGTGTCACCAGCCAGTGAGTCACCAAATTAAAGACAAAAAAATCACTCCACATGCATTCCTTCAGCAAACATTTACAAGGTGCCCACTGAGTGCCAAGCACTGACAGTGAGTCCACCCCTTTGTGGAGACAGGGAATGCAGGAGGAGATAAAACAGCAGTGTAAGAAGCTGATAAAGCAAAACAGCACAGCATTAGGCAGTGAGAAGTGAGAGAAAAGGCAGGCAGGAGCCGGGCGTGGTGGCGCACGCCTGTAATCCCAGCACTTGGGAGGTTGAGGCAAGAGGATCATTGCCAGTTCGAGACCAGCCTGGGCTACAAAGTGAGCTCAAGGCCAGCCTGAACTGCGTAGAAAGACCCTGTCTCAAAAAGACCACAGGGAAAAAGAAAGAAAAGAAAGAAAAGGCAGGCAGGGCAGGGCTGTGGAGTGGCAGGGCTGTGGAGTGGTGGGGCAGCAGCTCCAAGCTCGGCCGGGACCTGGGTGTGTGTGCCTGAGTGGCCTAGAGCAGCCGGAGGACAGAGACAGGATGGTGCCAAGAACCTCCATGGTGGACTGAGATGGCCCATGGGCGCCGCACAGGCTGGCACTGAACCCCCATCACTTTCCCTGCCCCAAGGCAGGTCCAATGGACCCTAAACCCCTGACCCACCTGCTCCTCTATGCCTTTTGTTGCTACCCTAACCCAGCTCCAGGGCCACACCTGGGGTTAATGGCTTCCTAACTAGCTCACCCCAGTTCAAAGCCACTGCCTTGAACTTTTTGTTTCTCTTTGTGTTTGTCGGCTGTCTAGGGACAGAACACAGGGCCTCTAGGGCCTCCTGCAGGCTAGGTCCCTAGCCTAGGTCCCCTCCAGCCCCTGCCTCTGCCCTTCAAAATGCCACCTGGGCCAGGTATGATGGCACACGCCAGTAATCCCGGCATTCAGGAGGCTGAGGCAGAAGGATTGCTGTGCGTTCAAGGTCAGCCTGGGCTACAAAGTGAGCTCAAGGCCAGTCTGAACTACACAGCAGGACCCTGTCTCCAAAAAAAAAAAAAAAGCAACAACAAAAAAATGCCACCTGGCTCCTTAGCATTCTTTGACCTCCATTAAGCCTCAGAAAGCAGCCTCCCAGACCCTCCACACACATCGAGGAGGCCTTTCCCAACCTCTTTCCCTTAGACCCCAGCCCCCAGGACACCTCTCCACCACAGCCCGCCTCAGCCCTCATTTTCTCCCATCAGACCACAGTTCCAAAGCTACCTCTGACACCTGGCCAATCCTGATTAGTCCTTTCTTT